GTGTACATGGAAGTTGATATAAGGAATTTTTCATAAATGCCAGGCTATTATAACTAGAAAATTCATACCAAGAGGAATCTTGGGGGGTTTTAGTCTCATTTTGTCAAGTCTTGCTGCCTCTAATTCCTCAAAGCCGGTATATTAGTACCATGGTACCAATATTCTTTTCAGAATACAGTATAAGTTAACTTTTCCAGTGAAAAGCAAGAAGTAATGGTGACGATACGTATGTGATAAAATCCTTTATGAATTTTTCCTAATGGCATAAACTGTACAAACCTTGTACGAAACAATATATTTTGAATAATTTCGCATACAACTAAAGTGAGAATGAACAGCGACGAGTAACATATATATTGAAATATTGTTTAAGTATTCCTAGGTATATATACCATACCATTTCTATCACCATATGCCTGAGATATTTTCGCACATTTAATATAATGAATAGCTGAAATATCTCGTCTAACATTATTGAGAATGTTAAACAATAACTAACATTTTTGAATCATATCTTCATCCGGAATTTCTGGCATTTTCTTTGACAAAAACACAAAATAGTTGGGTGTTAGCGGTAATATGCACGTCACCTTGAACTGGCAACGGTCCCTTTCGAAAACTAACCGATGGGCGACTCCCCTCGATTCCTAAGGTCACGGATAGTCAGTCTGGACTTATTGGTGCTGTTATATCCAACAAAATAATGTAGGGAAAAGCAATTGTTTTAGGTATTTGCTCATATATGATATGGTATTCACGGATATTTCCTATAGTTATATGCATTCTCTGAAGTGCATTTTCGTCGTGATGTGTAACAATAATATATTTCTAACAGAGCAGGTACACGGCATTCTTACAAATTTGATAAATAATTTACTACATAGGTTTGAAACGAGATACTACCGCAGTAGGGTAGTGAACTAACTCTATGACTCGTTGTTTATATTTTAATAAAAATATTTTTGTTGCTGGTTCGCTTCTATTTTTGAGCATATGGAATTTGCTCGGGTAACGCTTATAGGCCCAAACATCCGGTTATTTTGGCAGCAGTGATAAGCAGGCCTATGTTTCAGTATTTTTGGAATTTTTTCTAATCAATACTGCCAGGCAGTAAACAATTAAATATGCTTTATCATAAGAATTTATAATGTTTTCTTCTATTTGGTAACCGAGGATCGACTGATGTAACTAAGATGTAAATTGTTGTCATCTATCAGTAACTTTTTACAGACGAGTTTAAGTGATGCGATTCATTAATGATAACTTCAAATGTTTGCGGGACTGAGTGATTCCTATAATAAACACCGGATCCTGGATGTATTAAAATTAAATGATTAAAATTTACATTATAAAGTGCCTATTAGGGAAAAGAAGAATGCACCATGTAATTATGAGGCATGTGCCACGTTCTAATATCCAATATCTGGATGATATCTGTATCGGAACGGTAACTGTACACATGTACTTATGTAGGTTAATGAAGACAAGTCGCTAGTAATGTAACGAGGAGACAAATAATTGTAGGAGTATAAAAGATTCAAAAAGACCAAGTTGTTAGAAATTATGTAGATCCATAAAATATAGAGAGGAAAACATTGTGATTTGATGTCCTCGTGATATTTCATTTATTGCTTGTTTTGACGCCGTTGCTCAAGAAGTCACGAGTGAGACCTATTTCAAAATAATCGTCCAGATCAGCTTGTGATAGTATTTCCTAGTAGGAAGTGAAACTAGTCCAAGGCTACAAACATGAGTCGCAGATGTGGTTGACTGGGAAAAGTGACCTTAAAATCATTGATTAGTTACATCCTGCTCCCTACTTCAACTTCTCTTCTTTCCACTTTACACTCTACCACTCTTCTTTCTTCATTTCTGTACTCCTTCATTTGTGAGTTATATTACGACAATTTACTTAAATTTTAGTGGTAAGTATGTATTATATCTTGACTAACCACAGTATTGTCTACTTCACCAAGACAGGTTAGGCAGTGCTTTGGTTATATATATACAATTACCTCGTTGCTGCCTCTATTCCTATCTCTTTTTCCCCCTTTTTCAGAACCCCATTCACAGTGGAAAATTCATGGCACCTTTAGGGAACATGCACCCTATGTTCACTCACGTCTGGATCAAGCGCTTTCCGTTTGACGTTTCCCAAAAAATTCACTAGTGATCTAAGCAAACCACCCAAGAAACCTGCTGTGCACCTTCCCTATTTGTACTAGCCAATTGAAAAAAGGCTGTATCAGACTGTACCTGTCAGTGACAAGGTATAAATTTGCTATCAGAAATTGACTATTTTACTTAACTTGACTGCGGTAACTTTTGCAGAAAATGTGTTTGCAGTTATGATAATTTGATCTAGCCTGTAAACTGGAATGCCTCTTGTAACATACTGTTACTTGGGAATAAATATTATTTTAGTTATAAAAAGGCGTAAGCAAACAATACGTTCTGCCCCACAGACATAGGTAGATTTGGGTTATTGCCCACTGTCATGAATGGTGGTTAGATACGCCAGACTCCCTCTTTTTGTGATGTTAAGCTCTTTAGGTCTGTGGTGTATTTCAGGTTAAGCTTTATTCTGCTGTATACTGTCGGAATACACTGTCACTACTATTTACATGTAACAAACAACCGAGACAATTCGAGCTTCTCCATAATTGTTCATATTTCCGTCTAACATATCACACTGCTATAAAGTTAACTGATGGCATAAATTGCAAGGTATAGGTCAGATAGTAGATAATTTTAGGATGGTAAAGATACATGGCCAATAAAGGAATATGCACGAAAACAAATCAGTCATACTCTATAACACCAATGGGCAATAAAGGTAATCTTCATAGACATAACATGAAGACCGGGTAAAAATAACATAATAGCCCAAAGGGATTGTTGTATGAAAGACTAGGCTGAAAATAAATTGCTCAGATCTTGGTTCCGAATGCATCCAATCAGAGTAGGATTTGAGTTTACCGTCAGTATCGGTTTGCAAATTTTGGCTAATAGGTTGATGGTACTTATAAAGTGCAGTCCCGACGTTGACCATAATTGTCTTTTGCTAACTTTTACCTATCAATCGGCGTTTTTATTGCTATCCCACTGTCCGCGATGTGACAAAGAAAGCAGTGTGAATCATCAGTTTCGAAAAATGGGCTCTCAGATTTCTTATTATCAAACGTGATTTCCTAAATTCTTACAGGTTACTACTCTGCAGTCACTGACAGTGACTGATTGTAACTATTTGGAGTGAAGCATTTACCTGTGATACTTTGATTTCACATCCTTTGTCAGCAACCAAGTATCTAGCATAACATGTTCTAATTTGTCTATGGTAGGTTGTTCGAGTATCAAATCTAGCGGTTTTATAGAAAATAACATCTGGTCTAACCCTATTTTCGTATTAGAACGGTATACCGCTGAAAGAAAAATGGTTAATTCATCTGATATATTCGTCACTACAGGCTTACTATGTCCCAGTGACTCAACCTGACCTCCATTATATTTGTATTTGCCTTAAGTATTCAACTACTCATCAACAATATGATGGACGGTCTTAAATTTGGCATGCATATCTTAACAACCATCTTATTGCAAACACAGACAGACAGTCAGATTCTCAACCTCATACACATGTCAGTCACTGGATTTATCATAGACATTTAGCAGTACCAAACTCCTAAAAGTGTCTTGTGGTGTAACTTGTACAATAGACTGTCACTATGATTTTCCTACTATACGATACGTCGATCAATAACTCAAATAATTTCCCATTACATGAACATCTACGTTTGGCTCTCCTGAACTTGGAATTATTGTACAAACAGGGACTCAGATATCAGCATTCTTGAATTTTTTGAACTATTCGTCCTCTTTAAACATCCAGAGAATAAATAGCGTCTCAACAGAGAGATGACATTTCAGGTAGTAGATTAGGGAGGGCTACAGTACACGTACGTAAAATAGTTGAGTTTTTACTAGATGACTCATATGACTTGCCGAACATTCACTTCTTGAATAATCCTCTATGATAGAGAGAAAAGTTTCAGTTATTTGAGAATAAATTATTATTATTATTACCATCATTATTATTTGATGCCTCGAACTTCGTTTCGCCTCAGTAGCAGGGTTTTAGGAATGGGCACTACCGCATGATCAACCTGCTGACTGTGATGGCTAGATGGACAACCGTTCTTAATCGCTAGATGAAAGTCGATGTGATTTAGCTTGATTCCTCAGAAGCTTTTGATAATGCCAATCACATGCGTTTTATGAATAAGCTCTAACTGTTAGGTATCAGGCCACCTTTGATAGACTAGTTAACGTCATAATTGAATAATCGACTTTTGGAAGTCAGGGTCAACTTTCATTTTTCTAAGTCTGTAGCATGTCTTAGTAAAATCCAACACGATTCAGTACTAGTATAACTTCTCTTCTTCATTTACATAAATGACATACCTCAACAAATGACTCGTAGCATTGTACGCACTCCTGAACCTTTACTGACTTACTGAGGTTCAGTCTCAACACAAACCTTAAACGAAATACCCTGAAACTATTGGAGCAAAACAGTAGCATGAACTGTGTGCATAATTTCTTCTGATTACTAGTAGCCGGATCCTGTACTCCATTAACGACTGAGACAGTAAAATAAACTTCCCTTCAAGGAGAAACTTAGAATTTTCTTAAGGACTCGGGAAAATATTTCATTATAATTTACAAATATTTCCCCTTGAATTTATGTAAGTTTCTACGTGGAGACATCGGTGATCCACTGCTACTACATAAAGAATCCCGTTAAGCGAAAGCCTTTTGTAGTCCATCACCAACCATTTGAATAATTTCCAGACATCCATCTTACCCCTCCGATGTACTATTATAATCTTTCCTCATTACTAATTCTCCGGTATTATTATAATCAGGTTTATAATCATACAGAAGACGACCAATCAAATAGAAATTCCTCCTGCTTTACTCTACCTTTTTAAAAACAGGACGTTTGTTCAAGCTTTACAGAACCGCGTGGTTCAAAGCTGTTTCTTCAGGATGTTGGTTGGTTCGGATTTTCAGGAGTCTCGGTTGAGGGCAATAGTCGGTATGTCTTCTATATCAGCAGATTGGATAAAATTAGAAGTACTACAGAACCTTTCGAGAGTGGGAATTATAAGAAGGCACTGCAAGAGGCAAATAAAGTTCTCAAAAAAACACCAAGCTGCACGTCAGCAAAGGTTTGATCATTTATTACCCTACAAGTTTTGTACTAGGCACTCAAAGCATTAACACTTCATAGATCAGGAAAGGTTACCGAAGCTAATCTGTTAGCTGATGAACTCATTAGGTCATACCCCGTTGATGAATCTACTCTTAATGTCATCATGTGTTATTTCCGGAAAACTGGACAGAGCGAAAAAATAGCTGAGTTCTTAAAAAGTTCCCTAGAGAAGTCACCCAACAGAGAAGACTTGCTGGTCTGTTTGTTCCTTCACCATGTTCAGGAAGGGAACTTTTCTGCACAACAAGCAACTGCTAGGCTTCTTTCACAAAACTTCCCGTCGACTTCGTTCAACTATTGGGTTATAATGAGCACAATAATGCAGGCCGAATCAGATCCTATAATGGGACACCGTATGTATTTGCCACTGGCGGAGAAAATGTTAACCCGAGAAGCAGAAAGCGGAAAAATGTCTAGACATTCTGAGCTTCAGGTGCTAATAGATCTACTTACTCGCCTTCAAAAGCATGAGGAAGCCTATAAGCTTCTATGCCGAAAAGATATAACAGGTAAAATCGAACTATATTAAGATTACGTCAACTACCCCAACAGATCGTATCGATACCGAGGACTACATTTGTGATTACTCTTGTATGAAGCTTAGTTTGTTAGCTCATTTGGATATCTGGGATGATCTTTACGAGTTATCGAAATCCCTGACGAAAATCAACCCGGACGATTGGACACCATGGAAGAAACTAGTTGAAGCGGCTTTGAAGGACACGCAGCGGTAATACTTTTGTATTTTTATTTCCATATCTTTTCGTAATTCACATACACCATACATTATATTTCATTAGAATGTGGTTAATATAGTCTTAATCAAGTATGTTTGATTTCACACTAAGTTTTAATTATTAAGTACTAGCTTTTACGTTTTGAGGTCGGTATCAACAGTGTCCGGCTTCATCAAAGTCACTAAATGTTGATATTTATCCATACATGGGTACAAAGGGAAGCCCAAATGTTTATGCGCCACACAAATCATCGAATTTGTGTGTTGGCCGAGATATTGCTCGGGTACCGAAAACGAAGCGGACTTTTCGTAAAGAGCCACCCCGAGCGCCCGACCCAGTTTCATCCTCAAGTCAATGGAGCAACGTCAGGAGATGCAGTCCCATGCTAGCCGGTCACCAACGGCAGGTTCGTACGTCATTCATTCCGTCAAGATCCTGGAGCGTATGTACACAGTTGCTTTGGATTAAGGGTTTTTCAACCCTCTTAAGTAGACTTCTCACCTACCTAGTTAAAACGGCAGACATTCGCTTTTCTTCTTCTCAGTTTCGCAAACAGCAGCCGCGTCACGATAAGACAGCAGGACTTTCCTAGCAGTAGCTATTTACGCGTGGCTGTATAAGAGCATTTCGAAAGAATGAATCCTCCCCAATCTCGGCCGTACCAGGGCACCTGGAAGGCTTCTCGACATATAGTCAGCACAATTATGATACAGTCTTATTTATCAGCATGGATTTCTTAGCCGGACCGTAGCTGCTCCCTTGACATGGTGGTCGGGCTTACCTATCGTAATAACCCAACCGAGCTATATTGGCTGAAACATATGTTCCTCTAAATTCTACCACCAAGTCAGTCAGTCAGATGCAACGTAGAACTTCGTATGTAAGTACATCAGTTCATGTTGCCATACCATATTAGCACAGAGACGCAATTGTCAATTCAAATCCCATAGTAGTAGAGGTAGTAAAAGTATTAGAAGTAATCGGAGGGATTAGGGTTCGAAGATGTTATTTAAAAAATATAATTCAGAGAGGTAAATTTAGAAAGAGAAAGATAGAGCTGATGAGGAATTCAGAAGGTTCGGATTTCATAGAACACAGAGTAAATGCACCTGCGCCATTGCAAACGATTTTGAGCCATGTAATTCAAGGTCTCTAACCATCGGTTACTATCATCTCGCGGACCCCAACCGAGGTAGCCTACATATACCAACATGACTCAGTCCACTTGTCAGTGACTTTATGGATTTCTGCCATGTTTTGGTCCGGCCGCCCCTAACTTTCTCCCAGCCTACTCCAACACCACAAAACAAAGCTTGTCGAGGCAGTCGGTGGTTAGGCATGCGTAGCACATGTCCCAACTACCTCAACTAATGAAGTTTCATTACTACATTTATTGATCTGCCATCCTTACGTAGAACTCATTTCCTAATGGCAGCGTTGCTCAGTCGGGTGTCCGACAGTACACGAGCAATGCTTCTAAGACATGTGATCGAATACTGGTAACCTACGAATATCTTCTACTCTTACCTGCCATGTTTCGGATCCATATAAGTACACTCGTACTTTAGTTAGAAAACGGACGTCTCGCCTGCGCCATTAGTGACGCAGGTTGACAAAAGCCAATCGAGCTTTCTGTATCCGAGCTGAGATTTCGTCAGTCACCAGGCTATCAGCACTGATGAGACTCCCAAGTTAAGTGAAGCGGTCTACATGTTCAACTACTTCACTCCCTATCTCTAGTTCATGTGCCGATGCAACCCAATCTTGAAGTAACATTTTGCTTTTCTAAGGGGAAAGCCGCATTCCCAACATGCTTGCATTGTTGCTTAGGTTAGTCAGAAGACTGGATTTTATCAACGTATCCACCAAGTAGAACTATATCATTAGCATATTTAAGCCAGAAAGCGAGTTTCCTGATAGAAGGTGCACTCCTGCAAAGTCAGACGAAGATGATGTTATATCTAGCTGCATGTTTATGACAAAATTGAACAAGAATGGGAAAAGTGGACATCCCTGACTGACACCACTTGAAGTAAAGAATTCCAATGACAGTTTGTCATAAGCTCTAACTCGACCTGTAGTGTTCGGGTAGAGAGCTTGTTTAAGGTTAATGTACTTCTTTGGTACATCTTTCTACTACAGACACTGCCACAGAGCCTCATGATCTACAGAGTCAAATACCGCCTTAAGGCCCGGGAAGACTACTATTGTCGGACGCCTAAATGTGTCTGTGTTCCAAGACCTGTCGTAGTGTGAAGATGTGGTCTACACAGCCACGTCTAGACCGAAAACCAGACTGGTTTTTTCTAGTCTGCTCTTCACGAGCTTTCGTTAAGCGTCGAAGTACTACTGAGGCCAATATTTTAGGTACTTTATTAGTTAGACTGATTCCTCTGTGATTGTCACAAGAGGACTTTTGTCATTTCTTGTAAATTGGGACAATTAGCGACTGAAACCAGTCTGATGGGATTCTGCTAGTTCCCAGATTCTATCTAAGATCTCGGTCAATCTGACTGTTAAAACTGGACTACCATCCTTAAATATCTCAGGGGTCAATCTATCAGGACCCGCTGCTCGCCCGCGCTCCAGATTTCCTAACGCTTTCTCAACTTCATTAAGACTAGGGAGACTTGCGTTGATTTGCCATTCAGGATGACTGGAGATCGTGGGTAACCGAAGAGTGGCTCGAGGCCAGTTGAACTGATCCCTAAAGTGCTCTGCCCATCGATCCAGTTTCCTGGATTGAGAATGGATAATAAGGCCATCTTTTTCCGAAATAGTCTCACATTTGCGTTCCTATTACCAGTCTCCTTAATGAGTCTGGGTAGTTGCCTACTGTTGCCTATCGCCGCTGCCGTTCTCATCTCTCTCGCTTTCTCCACCCACTACTGTTCTCGATCATTGCTTAGGCTTTTTGTCAGCCTACGTCTAAGCTGACTCCGCTCTTCATCGCATTCGGGGTCAGGCGGGATGAGTTTTCGAGCATCCATCAGTTCGCTAATGCTACGGAGATCCACGGCTTCATTGTAGCCTTATGGTTTACCTTACTAGCAGATATCACTGCCGTTTCCACAGCCTTTTTGATATCATTCCAACCTGCCCCCGGATGGGACTCACTTACACGGTCGCCTATCTGTTTTTATAGTTCCTCCTGAAATATTTTCTTAGCTTGATTATCATTAAGTAAAGCCCTAAGAGGTTTTCTTGCGATATTTTTCTGGTGTCCAGTGAGGCGCAAACAAATACGCGCTCGCACTAGGGCATGATCTGAATCTAAACATGTGCTCCAAAACGAGCGACAGTCCTCTGCCGAACCCCTCCATCAGTGGCTGATGGCAATGTGATCTAGTTGGGTCCAACGTTGAGACGACCTTGGGGGTCGCCAGGTTAAGAGATGCTTTTCCTTATGCCTAATGTTAGTGTTTGCTAAGAATAGGCAGTTATCTCAGCACAGTTGCAGCAGACGGTCACCGTTGTCTGTTCTGTTAGCCGCGACACGATAAGATCCACCCAGGTGTCTTTCCTGCTCACTCGGTCTACCTACTTGAGCATTAAAGTCACCAGCCACCATTACTTTATCAGAGCGCTCAACTTTTTGAAGGTCAGAAAGGTTTCCGTAAATCCTATCTTTTACATCGTCTCAGCTGCAGTTAGTGGGAGAGTAGGCAGAGACAACGAAGACGCGAAGTAACTGATCATAAGTGTATTTTAAACTCACTTATATATCACAATACCGACCGTAGCTGCTACCTTGAGGTGATGGTCGGGCTTGTCTATCGTGATGACTCAAGCGAGCTATATTGGCTGGAAACTATGTTGCTGAAGGTTCTACCATGCCAGGTAGCTCCATTGGAGAACGATGAGACTGAAAGCAGCTTCGCAAGGTCTAAAGGCGAAGTCGTACTGCTAACCGCAGAAGGGTGTGACAGCAGTAAGGTGTTTTCCTCGGACAACCAGCATCTGCAGCGATGCTGCCTTCTCACGAGGAAGGAAGGGTTAGAAATGGTCGACCCATTATTACTATCTTAGAGCGCCTAGCCTTTTGGAGGTCCGAAAGCTTTCTGTAAATCTCATCTTTCACCTCGTCTGAACTGCAGTCAGTGGGAACATAGGCAGATACGACGAAAAGGTAACGGCGAATGTCCCTATCCTTCCGAGTCCTTACTGTCCCGTTTAGTCGGACAGCACACAAGCGACTATCTACTGGGATCCAGTCAGGGAGAGATTGTTCAGCTCTACGACTCAATGCTATACCTACGCCAGCGAGACCCCTGGAAGCAGCATCAGGGCTACCGGATACACGAATAGTGATTCGGGCTGCTTCTTTGTTTTGATAAGTTGAAATCAGATTAATGACTTTACTAGGATCCTGTATGCGCGTTTCCGAGACGCAGCATACATCGATGACACGAGATTCTAGAGTCCTAGCTGTAGAAGCCTGTTGCCCTATTTGACATAATGTCCGTACATTAAAAGCTCCAACATGTAGTCTAGAACGAGGTATCAAGAGACCAGGAATGACGTTTCGTGAACTAGCATCGTTTGCATTAGCGGTTCAGTGAAATAAGGGAATGTGAGTAAGTTGTGGAGAGAAGAGAGGTATGTGTGGGTGTAAGAAGGATTTGATTTCGACCAATTTGCTCTCGTGTGCTGTTACGGGTATGAGGGCGGTTGTCACTTTCCGGCTGCCCACACCGTGGAAAGGTGTTTCTTGAGGGACCTGAAAAGGAAGATAGATTGGTGTTGGTCTTAACGACCTGGGAGTGTGACCGCAGGGTTCAAGGGACAACTGCTTGAGGCCGGTCACGCACCGCCTTCTTATTAAAGGTTTTTTGAGTATTAGCTCCGCTCTTGAAAACCCTTAGTGGGCACCCTTACCGCCGGAGACGGAAGTCCGTGAGGTAGGGTGAGGTATGACATTCTTAGGGTCGACCATTTCTAACCCTTCCTTCCTCGTGAGAAGGCAGCATCGCTGCAGATGCTGGTTGTCCGAGGGAAACACCTTACTGCTGTCACACCCTTCTGCAGTTAGCAGTACGACTTCGCCTTCAGACCTTGAGAAGCTGATTTTAGTCTCATCGTTCTCCAATGGAGTTACCTGGCATGGTAGAACCTTCAGGAACATGTGTTCCAGCCAGTATAGCTCGGTTGGGTCATGATGATAGTCAAGCCCGACCACCACGTCACGGTAGCAGCTACGGTCGGATGTTGACTGTAGACTGGTGTGAGAGCAATAAGGTGTTTCCCTCGGACAACCAGCATCTACAGGGGGGCTGCCTTCTGACAAAGAAGGAAGGGTTAGAAAAGGTCGACCCTAAAAATGTCACATCTCACCTTACCTCACGTATTTCCGTCTCCGGCGGTAAGGGCTGCCCAATAAGGGCTTCAAAAATCGTTATTTGTGTTCTCTCAAATCCCAACCTTCTGAATTCCTCATCACCTTTATCTTTTTCTTTTTAAGTTTATTTCACTAGATTCCACTTCTTGAATAATATCTAACCTTTATGTCTCCAATTGCTGCTAATACTTCTACTACCTTTACTCTGTGCTATTCGAATTGACAATTGCATCTCTGTCTTAGTGTGGTATGACAACTTAGTTGATGTATGTACGTACGAAGTTCTATGTTGTTGACTGAGTGACTGGTTCAATACTGTGTGATATCTTTTATTCTAGCTACTGTTTTTGGATGGATTCTATCAATTAGTCATGATAAACAACAGATCTGTTACTTTCAACACATCTCTGCATTTGTTCTGTCTTATTACATCAGGCCGGTAAGCTGATTCTCTTCTACCACGATTCATTTTCAGTATCTATTGTTGTTCATTCAATATAAGTTCAGTAACAAATAAATAATCAAATTTTTTATCTATAAAATAGGGTGGAAAAGGTTATGTCACTAATCAACATTGCTATAGAGAATCATCCTTGTGCTCGTGGTCCGCAACTGGCGCGCTTGGATTTGTATGCAAATCTGTTGCAGCTGGGAATGCATGATGTTTGTAATCTTAACCCCCTGACATTCATGAAGGATTACTTTAACGCATTCTCTCATAAGCCTATATGTTCTATGGATTTGGCCTACCTTGTGCGTATGGTTTTACCAAACATGGATGATCAAATCAAGGTAAGTCCTCCAATTTCCTTTGTCGTAGGGTTTTGTTCGAGTAGCAGTATCGTATTGTTTTTTCCAAATGACCTGGTTGGTTAGATTTTCAAACAGATCTATTTTTTGTATATGATGTTACGGGTATATGATACATCCAGTACATAGAAATTTTTACTATCTCCCTTTGCTTTTTCATAATTTTCTTTTCTATTTTGTTTGGAAAGCCACATGCAAAAGAGGGAAAAACGATGGCTTTCTAAATAACTGTAATCAATTTACCTGCACTCATTCGTTAGGAATAGTTTAACAAATTGTTTGTCCATTTATGTTTGCTTTTGAGATTTTAGGGAATTAAGTTTCTCGTCGCCTATCGACAGGCGTCGATACTAACATTTTGGACACTATATTAGTTAAACCGACTCCTCCGTGTTTGTCACAAGAAGACTTTTGTCCTTTGTTATACACCGAGACAATCAATGGCTGAGACTAGTCGGATGGGATTTCGTCCAGTTCCGAGATTCTACTTGAGATTTCAGTCAACCGAACTGCTAAAACTGGACCACCATCCTTAAAAATCTCAGGGGTTAACCTATCAGGACCCGCTGCTCTCCCTTGCTTCGGATTTCTTATAGCCTTTGCAATTCCATTAAGAGTCGAAGGGCTTATATCAATTCGCCATTCAGGTTGACTGGAGATCGTGGAAAGCTGAAAGCCCATCTATCCAATCTCCTGGACTGAGAGGAAAGAATATGACCATCCTTTTCTGAGAAGGTCTCACTAACAATCGGATTCCGAATTCCTTGATGAGTCTGAATATTTTTCTACAGTTACTTATCGCCACTACCTTTCCCGTTTCTTTTATCACTACTCAACACTGTTACCATGGAGTAGGCTTCTTATCAACCTACACTTAAGCTGACTCCGTCTTTCGTCATGTTCAGAGCCATACGGGATGCATTTCCGAGCATCTATCAGTTTGGTAGATGTTACTGAGATCCACTGCTCCTCCCTAACCTTACGGTTTACCTTACTAATAGATATCACTGCTGTTTCCAGAGCATTTTGAATATCATTCCAAACTGCCTCGAAGTGGGCATCACTTACATCACTGCCTAACTGTTCTTCTAGTTTCTCCTGAAATTTATGCTTAGCTCTGCTATCGTTAAGTAGAACCCTGGGGGATCTCCTTGCGATGTCTTTCCTACCTCAAGTAAGACGCAAACAAATACACGCCCGTACTAGAACGTGATCTGAATCTAAACATATGCTTTAGAACAAGTAGCAATCTTCCATCGAGCTTCTAAATCGGTGACTGATAGCTATGTGGTCTGGTTGGTTCCATCATTTGGTTAATTTCTGGGTTCGCCAGGTTAAGAAATGGTTTTCCTTGTGCTTAAAGTTAGTATTTGCTAGAAATAGGTGGTTATCTGAGCATAGCTGCAGCAGACTGTTTCCATTACATGTTCGATTGGCCGCGACACCGTAAGATCTCAGGTGTTTTTCGTTTTCACTTAGTCTACCTACTTCAGCATTGAAGTCACCAGCCACTATTACTATATCAGAGTACTTAACTTTCTGAAAAAGCTAAGAAAGCTTCCTGTAAAACTCATCTAATTCCTCGTCCGAGCTTTTTTTTACTGAAATTTGCTTTAGTAAACGCCGGCGATCTGCATGTGTATTGTGAAATTAATTTAATGAGTACAATACACGAACTATTACGGCTATTTAGAGAACAACTGCGTATGTAGGAAGTAATGATAAATTACGCACAAAAAAATCCGTAAAATAATTTTTCTTGCAGATATGTGGTTACAACTTCGTGATTAGTAATCCTACGACCTATGACCACTTGGTTTAAACTGAGTTTGCGCGGGAGGCATTTCAAATTAATATAATCCGTCAATCTGTTTGCAGACTAGAATCAACATTTATCAAAACGTCCACTCTTTGTAATCTTCGCTGCTAAACTGTGATTCCTCAAGCAGATATTAATTTTATAATTTTGGGATCGTATTTTCGTCTACTGTCTTCAGTCTTACAGTAGATATACCCGTGAGTTTTAATGTATTATTAATCTCTTATCATGTTGATTTTTTTGTTTTCTCTCAACAGTACATTGATTTTATTATGGAGGTCGCTGAGACTGATCCGAATTTCGTGAGTCATTTTTTAGTCTGAAATCATCATTGCACATGTATTTTGTTACTTGTTAACATTATGCTACTTTTCCCGATCTATTAACATTCCATTTAATAAAGCAACTAGAATTACTCTGGATTAATGCATCCTCTTAGATATAAATAAATGCAAATTTTAAACCTTTCTAATCCTGTTTGTTACTATTGAATGCTTTTGTAGAATTCTGTTTGCATTGAATACTTATTTACACTAGGGTTTTATGTTCTGCATTAAAATAATGTATCGTAGAGGTTAGTCAAAACGCTCCAAATGCTTTAAACAAATAATTCATGTGTTAATAGATTCGTTACAGTGTCGTGGACATGAAATTTAAGTTGAAGTGAAAGTAGACTAGATTCTTGTGTATCGGGATATTCGTTGTGCAAACAATTGCAGTATGACATTATTACTCTGTATGCAGCTCTTATAGGGTTACTGACTGTCCCAAGCCCAGTAAAACGGATAGGGGTGGGCATGGGATTAGTGACACCATCCTATAGAAAACCAACTTAATACGAAACCATAACGTCATTATTTCGACACTTTATTAATGTTCTTTTCTCATTCATTACATCTACTTCAATCTGACAGCTTATAAGAGCCATTTTATTATATCCAATATGAAACGTGATACATACGCTTCAGCTCAAGTTATCTTAACACATAAGCGCAGAGAAATAAAATTGCCAAAACAAATCCCAGAATAATAGAAGTAGTAACAGTATCAGTAGTAGTAGACAGTATTAAGTATATAAAAGAAAGAAAAAAGCGACATGAGCAGATCAAGGTGTTCCGAAACTAAGGGAAGATAAAGAATAAATGCGTCTGCGTCATTACAAACAGTTTGGTGCCACCACTGATAACTGTTGATATTTCCTGTTTTTTTTTGCAGACAAACAAAGACGACAAGACAATCTATCGTCATCTATGCGCTCATCAGATAGCACGTGCTAATAATCAAGGAGCTTCTTTACAGTCTTTACTTCGTTATTACTTTGGCTATGCTGCAGATCGTAGTGAAGCTGTTTTAAAGAAATTAAAAGATGTTACCATTAATAATGAAACAACCTCTCTTGACATTCACCCAGTTGATGGATTTTTACTGTTATCTTTGTCCTCGCTTTTGGAAACATCCTCTCTGACTGATGATTGTTTATTTTCCTTCGGGGCTGGACTTCTCTCTGTTTACTGGATATACATAGTGGGATTACAGCACGCAACTACAAACCATCATTTGCGTATAAAACTTTGTCACTTATATTGTTCAGATTTTCTAAATTGTCCTGAACTTATATTACCTCAGTTAGATAAACTTGAAATCAAACAGTTGCTTTTTCTTTCATTAGGGTAAGCAAGTTTTTTATAATTTAAATATTCTTTATTTTGAGTAAACTTAAATTTAAGGATTTAAACATTGTTATTTTTCAACGATAATTTATTGTCTATAAACCTGCTGGTCAAATCAATCGTGTTTTAAGAATGAGTCAGTTTACACTTCAAAACATCCGATGTCCTCAGGGTCTCATTTAAGTTAGTGTACAAGTGTCCGGACAATTGAAACACTGTATTGATGCATTCACTGTGAAAAATGTCGGTATTGAAGTTTACTATAAACATTTTCTTATCTCTTTCCTTATGTGCATTTGTTTTTTTTAACTTTTTGATAGTACTTTATCAACATGTTTCCCAATACTACCTTCGGTTTTTTTTTTCATATCTTGTAACTGTCCTGTTTCGAAACACAGCAAGCGAAGTCAGTGTATTGTAGGGATCAGCCCCATTTTGTGTATAAAGATGTGACATTGGTCTTAACCTAAGTTTCTTTTGAGGAATTTTGAAGACAGTTTTTTATTCTGACGATTAGCCACATGTTCCACAATATTGGTGGTACCAAAATTTATAGGTTGCAATTTATTTAAAGCATAATGTTAGTGGATCCTAAAGATCCTTCTGTTATCATTAGAGTTAATGGACAAGTCATAGCTCATTATCTGTTCTTGAGACTGCACACTAAAGAATTATTACTGTTTACATCTATTACGTTAAGTGGTGAGCATATTGGTCTGTAGGTTTACCTATTCTTGTTGAGAAATTTACATCGGCCCTATAAAGCGAACACTTTCTAAACATATCTCAGAGCATTATACTATTCGACTTGAAAGAATAATAGAAGACAGTCAAAAGTTCAATTCTGTAACTTCATGTCATTTGTACTCACATTAATTCACTAAGATTATCTTTTAAAATCAACTGCACAGTCAAACGAGTAGTTTCGAATGGAATAAAATTTAAAAATCTGTACACTAAAGTGACTAGCAGTTTACTGGTTCTAGCTTAAATCCTGTATGCTGAAGCACCAGGTTTAACCTCTCCTTATGATGACCTTAATAACTGTCCTGAATTTTTATGTACGCTAATCTCCCAACTTTTTACCATTACATCTGTCGTAATGACGCCTGTCCCTACACCTACATGTAAACCATATCGATGCTACAATTTTCCTTCGAACTTTCGATCATAATGTAACTTGTTCGATTCAGAATTGGTTTCTCCTTTGAACTGCTTTTACTTTTTAAGTCGCAGTGGTTGGCTTTAGGGAAATATGCAAAGTCTTTCAAATCTACCTATCAGAATAAAATCTCTTATTGTTGATTTGAGATTCTGAAGAGTATAAAACCTTAATTGTCGTTAGGGCTTTAATACCTGAAGCCAGAAAAAACATTAGTGAGAATCATTTTGAATGATACAGTTATATGCAGGTGTTGTCTGTGATTATTAATTTCAAGTAACACTAATTTTTTGGAACCGTGGTTAGCGTTGAAAATCCAATAGCTTTATACACTTGTAGTTGGAATGTAAAAAGTGATAACATCGCCATTGCTTCAGACGCTGTGCTCAAACCCTGTAAAAATCTAAAATATTCTATGATTTTTTTCTTGATAAACATACCACTATTCAGATATATGTTTTGGGAATTCGTGGTATTGCTTATCCTGCTTGCTTTCCATAGTCTATCATCAGAGTAAAAGCACTATTTTATTTTTTTATTGCCTTAATGTTTTCCGATAATGCGGTATTTGCGTGCACATATTTTCTTAATACATGTCCTGAGTTAGTTAGGTAATCCGTTATGTTAGTCTAATCACCCTCTATCACAACATAGATTATAGGATGGTATGAAAATAGGTTAGATGAAGAATAAGGGTGAAAATATATCCCATCACTCCACGAAATCATAAGCTACTGATCTGAGCCATGTCACTAGGTCTACACCTCTTGGTAGGAATCGCTAAAATAATTGTAATCCATAGTTACGGTTGTTAAGTAACATGGTGAAAAAAGTCAAACATAATGGGCTAGTTGTATTCATTTTCTATCCTCCTCTAAATCTCGAATTCAGTATCATTTGTAGCTCCTTATTTCTTCATTTTGAATGCAGCTCTCATGCTTCAATATTCAGTCCAGTTGAAAATTATTTCAATGTGTTAATTTTCCTTCTAGTTGTCTTAGTTTAAACTGTGGCAACTGAAACTGTTACATATTCATAACAGATGCTACTATGATGGCGGTTAGCTTTCTAGTATTTATTTTTCATGTTTATATATATATTGACGAGTATTTAATTTTGTATTTGAGTTTATCCTTGATATATGAGATCTATTGTTCTTCAAATGAACCTAGATTTATTTAGTATTCAGTAAAACAGTTTTGTGATAAAAGTATGTAATTACTTTTAATACGATTATTATTATTATTATTATTATTGTTATTATAGGCATTTAATCGTAAAACCGTCTCCATTATTGGCCATGTGTACAAGTGTACCGCCTATACAGTCACAGGTTGATGATAGTAATCCGATACATAGCCTTTATCAAAAGATTATAACACTTTCCGACAGTATAGTCAACGAAGCTGAAGAGTTTTTAGTTACTGCTTATCGAAAAAATGCCTATACAAAAGTTCGTGAATTCACACAGTTTGTCAGCCAGCTTCGTAATGCTGATATATTTTTAACTGTCCGTGTTGAAATGCTTCATTGGCAGTTAATTATTTCACAATCTGAGTAAGTTTTACTGTTGATGTCTTTTTTATTACCTGTACAATTAAATCTTGTAAATTGGATAGTAATTCTGTTTGTATTAATAAAATAGTCAACTCATACAACCATACATCAGCCACGTTTGTTTGTTTTGAAATGTGACCTTCAATCAATAGGGCGTTCTATATGCTAGGTTATCACCTACAAAGTAATAAAAAGCAATCATATCTGCACGTATTATTTGTGACTACTGTTGATAAAAGGTTTGTAGTCTGAATATCATCTAACTAGTGAAATAGTTTATCATGTGCTAATAATGATAGTGTACTCAAACATCCAATTTTTAGGTTACAGGATAAAAAGTATGAACATTTGTAGTTATTATCTCGATTTTTCAACACTTCTTTATTGTTGTATACAGATGTAAATAGGGCGAAGCAGTGACTTAATAGTTGAAACAACCATTTTCACTTATTTCGGATTAACAACTGTGGGGTTTTATTAATCTTGATACTATGTAACTCGAAATGGAATACAGCAGGTCGTACTTGATTATTCAGTTGTGTTGAAAAATTATAGTAAATATTTATGTTTTGTTTTTTACACTATTATGTTACATTAGACATGTAATTCAGTCTGTTACAACATAGAACTTCCTACGTGAGTACATCAGTTCAGGTTGCCATACCACATTAGCACTGAGGGACATGTAATTTCATTATAATGTCACTGATTAACTTAAATAGATTCTGTTGCTTGAACTATTTCTTCTATATATCAAACATGATATTGCTCTTCCTTTTGCACATCCCTTTTCTATGAGAGAGGAGGTTTATTGTGAAATATTTAGATCCATGTTAGGTAAATGTAATATCAAAACCATGTTACGTTGCTACCAATGTAGTTTTTATAATCATTATCGGGTTATCAATCTACTGTCTATCACTTCTAACCTATTATCATCTGTCATACATCACAAACTGCAAAACCTGTCAGACACTCGCGATAAAGTAGGCTACCTTTCTTCCAGATTGTGAAAGATTTTGCCACCTATCTACCCTCTGAAAAATGCTCGAACACTATCATATTTATTGTAAAACAATCGTTTCACGGGTGCCTTCTGTTCGTTGGTTAGGACTATATTCCAGGATTGTTTGTTGAAGAAGGCTGTAGCGGAGAAGCATTTGGTAACTTTTTACCACCTCTTTCCATTTTTTTCAACTCATCAGTAAAATTGAGTTGTATTTCCCTCTTTTTTCAGTGGTATTTTAGGAACAAATACGAAGTACGTAGTAATAGTGTTAATTAATCATCAGTCAGTCAGTTACAACGTAGAACTTCGTACACACCTTCAGTTTGTTATACCAAATTAGCACAGAAACGCAACTCTCAGTTCAAATCCCATAGTGGTAGAGATAGTAGAGAGAAGATTAGGGTTCGAAGATATTAAATTAATCTTCTGGGAAAAGAAATACATTGTATTACTGTAGGATAATACTTAGGTTATCCAATCCTTATTTTATAACTTCAGAGTCAGAAACCGTTAGTGCGACATATAATCTGCACCTCTACAAACCTGCGGGAGCTTATGCTTGTTCTCGTCCTTTGTGTCCAGGAATTAGTTTATCTGTTGATTTTACAACATATACATCATGATGAACTGTTTTAACTGAAAGAAGACTTTTGTAGCTGCATTTTCCAATTGAATAGTGTTTATTTTTGGTCACTATTCATTCTCCTATTTATTGATTGTAGCGTAATGGACAAGTTTGGTAAGACCAGATGGGATAGGCGATTTATTTGAAGATACTAGGGAAAATATGCGCACCTTATCATGAAACATCCATTTGCAAACAAGCGTATTCTTGACTGTCTTTCTGTATATGTCTTTTATTCTTTAAAACATTATGTTAATGTTAAACATCCGAATCCGACATTCCTCGCTTTGGCCGTAACTTCAGGGCGACACTACTGCAAATCCACTGAATACTATTTAGAAGCTTCGTTATGAATAGTACACACAACAGTACCACTACTCTGTCCTCCCTTATTTCTACACATTGTTATTATTCCACTTATTCTTTAATTTCTTACTTTAACACATTTGAAATCATCAATCAATCATTGTTAGACCACCATTCGAAACCTGGAAGCAGTTTACTTTAAGATGTTTTAAGTGAATAACAGGTTCTTCATTGTTTTACGTACATTTAGCCTATATTTTTTCTTTTACTTTCAGCTTTGATACACTACTCGAACAACTTGGACAAGCACAAACAAGTGTTGATAATGGTAAGAGGATAAGGCGTATTTATTAGACAAGTCAGTCGATCTTTGTATAGACACTTTTCCAATATTTATGTGTATAATTCTAATAGTTCAAACTGTTTTTCCATGACATTTTTTAGTTTCGAAACAACTTGCGACGATTGTTGATTGCCGGGACTTTTCAGTTACACCTAACTTTGATCAGTAAGTCAAATATTTTATCGGATTCTTAACTTATACCTTATTAGATATGAACAACATGAAAACGTTCAATTGTCATTTGACCACTTGGTAAGTTTAATATTCTTTATGTCTATTCATTTCATATTTTCGTAACTACTCATATCTTTTCAAGTCATTCTAAAATATTACTTTTCAGCATTTATTTTTTTATTTATGCCGTTTAAATTTCTATCGTAACCTTTTATCATTAGTGCACACATCTATTCTCTATGCCCTTGAAGATGCTTAGCTTTCCGGCCCTACTGTGGTAATTGACAATTTTTCATGAATTTCAACTATATAGTAAAGTATTGCTCCTTTTTTAACATACTGCTTACTAACTACGAATAATCCTTATTGAGTTCCGTACATAATTTGATTTCACCAGCTCACACCTTGGTGGTTGTGCTGTTTCTTTTCTCTTCTCAACTTCATTGATCCATGTTTATAGTTATTCTGTGGTCATATTTCTTTTCCTAATGATAATTAAAATCAAACTTTAAACGAATTTATTACATAAAGCATATGGTCATTCGATTATTCATTTGGCGTTCATTAATGCACACTCCTCACTCTGTATATCATCTTTAGAACATAAGTTTGTAAACTATGAACGATTTCAGAACTGCTCTTACTTATTACATAATATCGGTAACCGTCATTCAGTTTCTATATTGTCTGCATCAGTAGGCTAGTGAAAGTCCATGTATATCGTTTATGTTCCACATCATGAAATGTGCAGATTCTCCTCAACGTTTTGTTTTACTTTATATAATGCTGTTTCGTTGTTTAAAAGTATCTCGTATTTGTGTATTTTTATCTTTCTAGAAATCATGGTTGAACCTTCGCTGTTTAACTCTCAATACTATTGTCTATGCAACATCACTTGTAATGTCAATTGTAAAAGCTGAACACTATATGATGTCTGAAAGTCAACATGAAACTGTAGAGAATGTTCCATCAGAAGCTTTCAAAAGTTTAAACAATCTGCTACCAACATTGAATGATCTTGTTTCACATACCAAAGAACCATCCACAAGAGAACTAAGCAATTTTACATTACTAGTTAGTTTTGTTTGGCGAAGTTTTCATATGATTGCTATTAATTCACTTTTTTGTTGTTGCCCTTTTGGGTTAGTTCCACTAACAATTTCCTCTCGGTACTCTAAATACATACATGCGTGCATTTCCCGTCTTAGAAAATCAATCCATTCCTCATGCACTTGATTAATATCAAGTGACGTCCTAATATGACTGTTTTTTATTGATCCGCTGTATTATCTTTCTGAGCTAAAAAATAAGTCAGCCCCCTTGCGTTGATAATCTCGCTTTCTTCTCTGTGGATACATGGCATCGAATGAAGCCTGAGTATCCCAAACATTGCTCCAGCTAGAAAGACATCCTTGATTGAGTCTGGGTTCTCGATTATTGAGTGATTTTCCCTGTCGAATCCTCCTCTTATGATCTTTTTGAAAATGGCTGGGAAACTACTGCTTCCATTTGTTCATCATAGGAGAATGGGAAGATTGCTGGAGGGTTGAACGATCTTAATTAGAAATAAGACTCAATGAGTGATGAATATTTCTAAATATGTGGGCCAGTTGAGACTCAACAGATTGAGAGATTCATCGGTAACATAATATTTTGATAATCCCCGAGATTTTAATTTGAATAGTCGGTGCATTCAGAAGTGAGATGAATGCTTGACCGGCCAAGTTTATCAAGAAATCAGAGTAACATCAGACGTAGTATCCAGTTTCAATATTCGCGTAAAAATTGGTTAGATCTTAACAAAAAGTGAGCGATCAGGGTTTACTACGTTTGCGAAATCCATCCTTGTGACCAGTCACTTCACATTTTACTCATTCATCTTTATTGATTTGACAGAAACGAGAGAATCGCCACTTAACTTAGACACCTATACTGAATTCCCTTAATTTGGAAACCTTTGTGTCGTCCTTAAGATCCTCATTAATTATGATTCTTAGGATTCTTTTTGCTACTGCTGAAAAATTGATTTAAGCTAATGTACTGTAATTGAAATTCTAGAATTTTATTTATTTTTCGTATTTTTATCGAACCCACATGATAATAAATAAAATATCAGAATTTCAACTTCAGTAGATAAGCTTCAACCAATTTTGCAGCAGCAGCAGCAAAAAATTCCAAGAATCCTTGTTGAAAATAATCTTAATGGTGACATAAAAGTTGTCAATTCATAATTTCAAGCTACTATGGCCTACTCCGAGCTGCGGTATGCGTTTCTGTCTGTTAACTTGAATCAAAGATGTCTTTCAAAAGTAATATTAAGCGAAAACTTAGAATTTCATTAATAATTCTTTCCGTTATTGTTTTATTGTTCTTTTACAAGAATCATATTATGTTGTCTTTGTTTCTTCGCTATTTTAGTCTTGGAGTGTGATGGTAAAGCGTGATCAAATAATCAAAACATTTCCCGATTTACCAAATGTGTCTTGCGCTTCATTATATTTTTACGGACCGTACCGAACTGTTTTATCTGCCGGTATTGAACTCATATTAGGACTTCATAATTTGATTTTCGAAAACCCTCGTAAGTTACAGTAGTATCATTACAGAATCGACAGCTGTTTTATTTTCATTATAGAATTGTGAAGATTATTGAGTTTCATTGAAGTCATGAGTCGAACAATGTTAGACCGCCTAAAAGCACTAGACAGTTATTTCTTCTTAGTACGGGACTCATCAACGGTGCACACCCATGACCCCCGCACATGGTATTCGGACCCGGCACCTTCGGTCTCGTGCGTGAATGCCTGACTTCTAGATCACTGAGCCGACATCCAACGGTGTTAATGTCTAACGTTAATAAACCCACCATATTGTTCAACCTTACCCATAGTCCTCTATTGGTAACTGCTTCACACGCGACACAATCGAAATCTTCTGGTCACTGTTTCTCACTAAAACTTCTAGAATTTCCTTGCGAAGCCACTCATTAGTGAACACATGATAATTTTCGTCATAGGGTCGATCGATTCACGATCTCAATGAAACTTACCTGTCTCCACAGTGGTCTAGAGGTTAAGTTTTTGCGTGCGAGACTGGAGCTCGTGGGAAGTCGTGGATGCACACTGCTGGTGAGTCCCATACCATGTCGAAACCGCTGTTTATTGCTTCCATGTTTCTAGTGTTGATCTAACATTGTTCGACTCATCCTGCGAATAAATGTACTTTCTTAAAACTGTCTATATTTTTCTTGCATTTAGCTACCTTCACTGAAAGGTCTATGAACTGTCTTCTCCAGTCCTTGTATGAATCCTTTTTGTCCGGAAAGTTGAATTCTGAAAATACGGACATGCCAAAGATGTATCCAGCTATAAATACTTCGCTACTGTTTTCACCAAACGACCTTCATTTGCCTAACGGGATTTCTAATGATAATGATTTGGTTCATCCTGGTGGTATTTTGTTAATCCTAACGATGTTTTATGAAAGTATTTCTTTGGCAACTTTATTAATATCAATGATTCGAAGTGCCCTACGTCCAAGAAGGTAAAGTTAAACACAGTTATATTACTTATCCGTACATGAAACCAATTATTTTCTAATATATAAATCAGATTAATATGACTCATAATTTTAATGGTTTTATATTTTCAATATGTCAACCTCGAGTCTAGATACCATGTTATCATAGTAATCTTCTTGGTCAGCTTGTCGCTTCAATTGAACATTTTATCTCGTGGTTTCACCATGTTAAGTATATCGGTTAGATAGTAGTTAAATTGTAAGTAACTTCGAAATTTGACAAAAAGGTTACATCCGGTTTCTTCTAACGAGTAACCAACTTTTCTCAGTGCTTTCCCATGAATGAAATTTTCCGTTGTTCAATTTAATCTCATCCTTATAAACTACATTTTATATGTTTAGTTTTCTACTATCATTCTTTTATTTACATTCATACTTTTCAACTTATTACTTCACTGATATGATAGGACGTATTGTTTGTTTCTTTAATGTTATTTATTATTGACCATGTATTGAAAATATTGTGAAATCTCATGTAATTTCACTTTACAATCCTATTTTGCATTAATTTAATTCATATCGCAATAATCTACCAAGTTTCTAACTTATTTCACTTCTAACTAATTCAGTTCTATGTAGTATAATCAAACCATTTCTTCCTTACATCCACTTATATTTCCTTTTGTTATGATGTTGTTATATTTTAACAATTTACTGTTATTAGTTTATTGTTTTAACCAATATCTACCATTTTATTTGAACTGTGTTTTTTTTTATCAATAAATATATTATGTTAGACTAAGAAGGGAACTGACTTTAGAAATTTTAATATTTGTGTCTGGCAGATTTATCTTCAATAATCAAATCACTGTATAAGTGTATACTTTCAAACAATGTTTTTGTTAATGATCGTAATTTTCACTGATACGTTATACTGTTGTTGTTTCTTTTTGTCAAAACTTTATTTTTAGCCATTATCATCTTGAAATAAATAAACGTCAAAAGAGAAAAAACAAAAAAGACAAAACAATGAACACAAAGTTAAACTATTCTCCAATTGTTAGTCTTTTAGATCATTTAGGTGCTGGTTTACATTCGACTACAACACAATTGGTGACTATTACTGATCAATTAGCAAAAATGACCGATTCTTGGTCAACATGGTGTCATGATGTTTCGTGCAAAGAATTTCAATCGATTGCTTCAAATGCTTGTACACATGTACTGTCGGAAGATTTCTTAGTACAGGTTGTAATAATTTTTGATTATTATTATTATTATTTGAAGTATACCATAGTGTTAATTAATTAGTTATTGTTGAATTGTATTTAAATTATCTGTTTTAAATCTGAGTACTTACTTACTTACTTACTTTCGCCTGTTACCCCCAATGGAGCATAGGCCGCCCACCAGTTTTCTCCAACCAACTCTGTCCTGGGCTTCCCTCTCCAGTTCTGTCCAATGTTTGTTCATTCCTCTCATATCTTTCTCTATTTCTCGGCGTACCGTGTTCCTTGGCCTTCCTCTTTTCCTTTTGCCTTGAGGGTTCCATGTGAGGGCTTGTCTAGTGACGCAGTTGGGTGCTTTTCGTAGTGTATGTCCTATCCACTTCCACCGCTTCTTCCTGATTTCCTCCTCCATTGGAATCTGACTTGTTCTCTCCCACAGTTCGTTGTTGCTGATGGTGTCTGGCCAACGAATACGAAGTATTTTGCGTAGACAACTGTTAATAAACACTTGTATCTTCTGGATGATGCCTTTCGTAGTTCTCCATGTTTCCGCTCCATACAGTAGAACTGTCTTGACATTTGTATTGAAGATCCTGATTTTGGTTTTGTTTGAAAGTTGTTTGGAGTTCCAGATATTTTTCAACTGTAGAAATGCAGCCCTCGCTTTGCCAATCCGCGCCCTCACATCTGCGTCCGATCCACCTTTCTCGTCGATGATGCTGCCAAGATATGTGAAGGTGTTAACGTCCTCCAAGGTATCTCCATCAAGCGTGATTCGGTTGGTGCATGTTGTGTTGCATCGGAGAATTTTGCTTTTTCCTTTATGTATGTTGAGACCAACTGCTGCAGAGGCTGCTGCTACACTGGTCGTCTTCTCTTGCATTTGTTGTTGAGTGTGCGATAGAAGAGCCAGGTCATCTGCGAAGTCCAGATCGTCCAGCTGCGTCCTAACTGTCCAGTTGATACCGTGCTTCCCTCCAGATGTTGACGTCTTCATAATCCAGTCGATGACCAGGAGAAAGAGAAAGGGTGAGAGTAAGCAACCTTGCCTGACACCGGTCTTCACCTCAAAAGAGTCTGTCAGCTGACCTCCGTGCACGATTTTGCAGTTGAATCCATCATAAGAATTCCGTATGATGTTGACTATTTTCTCAGGCACACCGTAGTGTCGAAGAAGCCTCCACAGTGTTTTCCTATCCACGCTATCAAATGCTTTCTCGTAGTCGATGAAGTTGATGTAGAGTGGTGAGTTCCATTCAATTGATTGTTCCACAATGATCCGTAATGTAGCAATTTGGTCAGTACATGATCGATCCTTCTGAAATCCGGCCTGTTGATCTCGAAGTTGGGCGTCTACGAAGTCCTTCATTCTGTTTAACAATACTCTGTTGAAGACTGCCTGGTATTGAAAGAAGAGTGATGCCTCTGTAGTTTTCACACTTGCTGAGATCGCCTTTCTTTGGTATTTTGATGAGGTATCCTTCTTTCCAATCTGATGGTACTTGTTCCTCATCCCAAATCTTCTTGAAGAGAATGTGAAATGTTTTCGCAGTTGCTTCTACATCTGCTTTCATTGCCTCTGCTGGAATGTTGTCTGGTCCTGCTGCTTTGCCGTTCTTGATTTGCCTGATGGCCATACTGATCTCCTCAATCGTAGGTGCGCCAATATTAATTGGGAGGTCCTTGGATGCTGCTTCGATGTTGGGTGGGTTCAGTGGAGCTGGTCGATTCAATAGTTCCTTAAAGTGCTCCACCCACCTATTTCGCTGTTCGTCAGTGTTGCTGATTATTTTCCCTTCCTTGCTTTTCACTGGTCGTTCTGGTTTACGATAGTTCCCGGCGAGCTTCTTTGTAGTTTCATACAATTGTCTCAAGTTTCCTTCTCTTGCAGCCTTTTCCGCCGTCATTGCTAGATCTTCCACATATTTTCGTTTGTCAGCTCTGATGCTCTTCTTCACTTCCCTGTTTGCTTCCGTGTATTCAGCTTGTGCCTTAACTTTCACTGCTCTTGTTCGGCTGACATTCACTGCTGCCTTCTTGTTCCTCTTTTCTTCAATTTTTTCAAGAGTACCAACAGAGATCCATTCCTTGTGATGGTGCTCCTTGCGACCAAGGACCTCCTGACATGTTGAAGTGATTGCCTCCTTAATCCCTTTCCAATTGTTCTCCAATGTTGCTTCCTCTCCATTGAGTAGATCCTGAAAGGCCTGGAACCTATTGGTGAGGGCTATCTTGAATTCGTTGAGTTTTACGGTATCCCGAAGAAAGGCCGTATTAAACTTCTGTGATGTTGTCTGCCCCGTTGTCCATTGCTTCTTTAGCTTCAATCTCATTTTGGCGATCAGCAAGTGGTGATCTGAAGCTATATCAGCTCCTCTCTTGGTTCTCACATCCTCCATGGTCCTTCTGAACTTTTTGTTGTTAAATCTGAGTAAAAGCACATATAATCATAGATTATATGGAAAAAAGGAAAAGTTGCCTACTATCACCCTTTCTCTTTCTGCTGATCGACTTGGATTATGAAGACGTCAGCATCTGAAGGGAAGCACAGTAATCAGCGGATGGCCAGGACACTGATGGACGGTCTAGACTTCGCATATATGATCTAGCTCTCTTATCGCACACGCAACAACAAATGCAAGAGAAAACGACCAGTGTAGCAGCAGAATCTGCAGCAGCAGGTCTCAACACACATAAAGGGAAAAGCAAGATTATCCGATACAACACTCCGTCCGCCGACCAAATCGCTCTTGATGGAGACGCCTCGGAGGACGAAAAAACCGTGACATGTTGGCAGCATCATTGACGAGCAAGGTGGATCAAATACAGATGTGAAGGCGCGAATCTAGAAAGCAAGGGCTTCACTTCTACAATTGAACACAACATCTGGAACTCAGAACAACTGTCAGTCAACACCAAAGTCAGAATTTTCAATACAAATGTCAAGATAGTTGTGAGGCGGAAACTTGGAAAACTACGAAAGCCATCATCCAAAAGATACAAGTATTTATTAACATTTGTTTATGCAAAATACTTTCGTTCCGTTGACCAGACACTATCAGCAACAACTTACTTTGGGAAAGAACAAACGAGATTCCATCGGAGAAGGAAACCAGGAAGAAGCGGTGGAAGTGGATAGAACACACATTGAGGAAAGTTCACAGCTGCGTCACATGAGAAGCCCTCACTTGGAACCCTCAAGGACAAGAGAAAATAGGTAGCCTATGGAAGACATTACTCCGAGAAATAGAGACAGACATGAGGAGAATGGATACAAATTTTATAAAACTGGAAAGGGAGTCTGAGGACAGAGTTAGTTGGAGAATACTAGTCAGTGGCCTATGCTCCATTAGTGGTAACAAGCGTAAGTAAGTAAGTATATACTTTAACTTTGTTATCTACAGAAATGTGATTAAATAGTTTCATTTATATATTATTCAAACTGTGTTGTTATTGCTTTTCTTTTTCAGTATCCTATTTTAAAACCGTCTAATTTTACGTTTGAAGAGATTAGCAACACCTACGAGAAAAGCTTTAATCGAATTGCCGCTGGTCTTCGTGTGAAATCATGTCATCTTCAGAATATAACAAATGAATTAGCTGTGTATCATTCTGAAAACCATGAAATGCCGTCTTCTCATGATCCAATTCCTTTACCTTAGTAAATTTCTGGTAGAATTCTTTCCATCTTATCTGTGTCGTATTGAGAATGTGCACTTGTAACTTCTCTGACAATTGTATTGATTTCATTTGTAGTATGTTGGATAACAAATGAACATGTCTAAAATATACTTATTTTTAGGTTATGATTCTTTGTCTTCTTAGTCATTTATTTTTCAGGACGTGATTTTGTTTGATTTTGTTTAGTCTTGTCAAATTGAATATGTAGTTTTTTACAAACAAGTTTTCTGTTAGTCATATATCTAGCTTTAAAATATGTCTTGATCACAAACACCATTTTTTTATGTACAGTTGTTATCTTAATCTACACAATAAATCGGACAGAATGCAGCTGATGTGAAGTCATTATAAAAAGTTGGTAAATAATTCTCCTATATACTGGATTCCAGTGTCACTAAATTAGATGGAAAGGTGATAATGTAAATCATCGTCCGAATATTAATGCGTTTACTTGATTTTGAATCAAAATATCTATGTGAACTGATTATATATTATCTAGATAATCAAACCAGCGTAGGTGAAACTTAGTACTAGCCAATAACCTAATGATTACAAAAATCAACTGCCATAACCACTAATTTATTGATTTCGTAGAAATAATTGAAAGTAAATGGATAAATGCATCCCATCATATTTACATGACTAGTTTTCTGCTGCGTCTCAGATACTCTACCAAAAAATCTGGATCTGTATGATTTCTCCCTTTATCATAAATCAGTTAAATAGGTTATTTGGTCTGAAGTCAAGTGTTTTATTTTACGTAACCGTTCCTGAACTGTGTGTGGTGAGTCGTATGCAATGGTTGTACATAGACGTCATAAAATTAAAATACTAAAAATAGCGTATTTCATCAAGATTTTTTAGCATTTACTTGTTTCGTACTAATATCTTTAAAATAATTTAAAGTCAGTTATGTAGCTTTTAAATGTTCGTTGAACATTTATCGCACATATAAGCTTGTGTTATTGTTACTTAAGTTTGGAAGGTTTATATTTGTTTGTCTATATGGACGCAACATTCTTCGTCTCTTAGCAGTACAATATATTTTAAATCTGTATCCGTCAAAAAACAAAGAGACAGGCTTTTCATTAGCTGGCAACTCACTGAGCTTCTTTGGTATTTCACTTCATGTTGTATAAGTAAACTAGTGAACAGGTATTTCATCTTAATTCTATTTCTCTGATGTAGTTTCTCATGATATGTCATCATAGTGCTGCGCATAACTAGGGTTAATAGCATTTTCTTTATCTCTGTTCTGGCTGTTATCATCATGTAGTAAATAAATGTCACTATATCTTTTAAGCTCAGAAGTAATTTCTTGTCAGATCCTTATTATCTATGGTTTCTTATGTATGTGCAATCAATCATCCTGAATTTTTTGTATATAACACTTAGATTGTTATGATTCATACGGAAACTCACCTATTTTAATTTAATACCCCCAGAATGTTCTTTGAGGTGAACTATTACACAATTGGCTTCTGAAGAAGAAAAATGGAAACATCGAAAACTGCCTCTACCTCGAAGTCAGATATACCCAAAACGTCTAAGCTCTCAGGAAACAGCACTGAAAAGTCAAATCTGCCCAACAATTCTGAAAAGGCCACTGATAGCAACGGGACAACAGGATCTTTTGAGTGCAATATATGTCTCGATTCTGCTCGAGACGCTGTTGTCAGTATGTGTGGTCACTTATTTTGTTGGCCATGTCTCCATCGATGGCTTGAAACTGCTGAAACTCGGACAGTATGTCCTGTCTGCAAGGCTGCTATCAGTAGTGATAAAGTTAGTTTTATTTTGCATGGAAAATTGCTTTATATTAAAAGTGAATTGCTTAACTGGTAAAACCAGTATTTTATATTATTCATATTTTCACCATCAATGACCCATCTATGTAATTTAATGTCACATTTAGAATAAAACTACTATTAAATCTTTTAGTAGTAAACTGATACCTTAACAGTATTTCACTATCAACAAGATGTTTGATTTATCAGCTTAATGAATACCGCTAAATGAATCTCACTGGCAAACTATCTATCTTAAAATTCCTATCTATGATATGAGTCTGCCATTGTTTTCAATAAAATACATCATGATCAAATTGATGTAACAGATATCCATCGCTGTCTGCAACGAACACTAATCTTCTATGTTCTAGTAGAACGAATGTGAATAGATTACCAGTCCCAAGTCGCACTTATTAGAATAGAAATTTAACGTAACATCATCATAATCTGAATTACGGTTTCTAACATCACATTTTTTACTTCTGGCGTAGATCTTCGATTTTGAAAGGCCGTTGTTTCCATGATATGTTTTCTTTTCTTAACTGTTCCTATATTTGACCTATAATTCTTAATTCTTCCAAAATTATTCTATCGTATTGCACATTACATATAAAAGTCAGTTTTACTCAAGATATTTCTAATATAAAATATGTGTACTCATTTGGTTTTCATGAAGTGTTCCTCGTACAAGCCCTTGGTGAGAATCCGTGATGTTTTTCCGTTTATAATTCAAATAATAATCAAAATGATTTTTTTAAGGTAATTTTCATAATTACCTCTTAAATATCTCTACTAAATTTCTTCCATTAGGTTATTCCTCTTTATGGACGTGGTGCAGACCATACACAAGACCCTCGTACTAAAATCCCTCCTCGCCCAGCTGGTCGGCGTACTGAGCCAGAACCAGGGTTGGGAAGCTTCGGAAGCACCTGGGGAGGATTATTCGGTGGTTCTGATGGAAGTAATTTCCGAATGTCTGTAGGTATTGGTGCATTTCCATTCGGTTTCTTGTCTACAACATTCAATTTAGGAGGTAATGGCAGTTCAGGGAATTCACACAACGTTAATGGCGTCAGCAACAACCGAGCAATGCCACCAGGCAATTTTTGGGGTGCTGATTCAGAAACTATGTCAAAAATATGCTTATTTATTGCTATATTTTTTATTGGTTGGTTACTGATTGCGTGAATAATTTGTAATTTTAACGTGATAAACAACTTAATTTCTATTGTCTCTTCTGATTTAATTTGCAATTTTGAAAAAAAGATATTTTTATTTTTACTAACTGTTCTCTAGTTAATTAAATATGATTTAAGCAATTTTAAGTTTTGTTCATGAATCTAACCACATTATGTATCATGAATAGAAATCTTACGAAAATTCTTTTTTTCACTACAAGTGTATAGTGAACTTATAATTTGTGTTGTTGTTGTCGTTGATATATTATTTCTTTTCATGTATTTTCTTACATGTAATATGAAGGTTGATATATGAGATTATTAATGAAATTTTAAAGTCACATATGTATTGTAATCCAACATTTCTTCATTACACACGCTTATTAACGTTGTAAGATAAATATTTTGTGTTTTTAATGGAAAGCAGTTGTATTTTATAAATTGTGTATTACAATATCTATAATTATTTAATAGAGTTTCATTTGGTTTTAACAATGATTAGATCATATTTGACTTAAATTTTGTTATAACTATGGTTATATAGGTTGCGATACGTACTCGTATTGTGCGAGATTTCATTTAAAACTGTTCTATGTTGAGAAGCAATTTCGGCCTGGTTGGAACTCCTAATTATTTCATCACGTATTACTAATGACTCCCAACTTTGATGAGTACGGATGACTGGTTTCAGCAGTTAACGTATTTAGTACCTACTAATTGTGTTACTCTCTATGGATGTATAACGTAAATATAATTGTATTTTGATTTCTGTGATGTTTATGGTTTGTATATCATAATGTGTTAATAAATCATCTTCTAAATGTTCAGTCCTTTTTGTCTGATTGATCTTCTTCATTGAGTAGTGTTTTTAGACTCTACTGTAATAATGGGTACAATAAATTTGCATGTATAATATCTTTATTGTGCAGAGATTAATGTTATATTTTTAGAGATATATGAGACTTGTTTGCGACCCCAACTGTTCATTTTCGTCGCGATCTGATGTCATTGACAATTGAACTGGTCTATGATGTAGGTCCAGATTAACTACATGGTTGAGGTTTTCACGGCAATAAATACCACTGGTTGTGTGAACATTGGGCTGAAAACCAGCCGTTATAGCGCATTGATTTCCTGTCTACCCACAGACGCTTAGTCCGTGAATTCATTTTTTCGCAAATATATGCTTTGTCTAATCTTTTAAAATAGATACCACTATTTCAACTACTTTGGCATTCTTCCTGCTGTTTTGATGTGATGTGGCAACTGATTCATATATGTGGCTGGTTCTACACCTTTTAAGATTGAATGGTAAGAACAAAACGTATTTTGAGGAAATATACGATGGAGAAGAATGTACTCCAGTGTATGTATGGTGTGTTTTCGCTACAAATGCAATGGTTTCTTAGTTTCTCGCCTGCGCAAGTACTTAGACTCACTTAAGATAGCGAAATAGAGAAACATTTAGATGATTCCACCTAAAAAATCCCAGCTCGTATATGAAAAAGTTACACAATATTCAAGTCTAGTAGTAGTATCACTATTGAAAGCCCTTAAGAACTTAAAAGTTTACAGAAGCTGCGAATAGACCGAAAATACTTCATTAATTCAGCACTCAATAGTAAATTCGAGTTCCAGAAAAACTGGGTCACCATATCCGGTTTGGATGGTTAATGATCTTGGCATGTTCCTGGCTCCTACGACATCAAGATCAAATACAGGCTTAGGTATATCCTTGTCTCTGAACTTAGATTAATCTTTGGTGTTTCTTTTCGTACTGTTTGCTAAGGAGTGGCTAGAAGATCTATCGATCTCACCATCATTGTATAAATTGGTTAAGTTGAAAATTCCAGTCCTTGATTTCGGAACACACTCTAGGTTACTCAAATACGTCTAGGCCTTAATCCATCAGATCCTACCAAAATGAAATCTAAAATTTTTCTACCTGTATCTGTTCCTGTGTTTTGGCATGTAAGAACTGTTCACATTTATAACTGTTTTGTTATCCCATCGGTGCTGAAGTAAAAGATACAAAAAGATAAATGGTCGGTACGTATTTCCTGAAACTCATTGTGTAGTACTGGATTCATGAATTTGTTGGACGTACATTTAATAGATCGAACCTTTCTTCCAACATTAATATTCCGATACTTTCTAATTTCTAGGGTTATTGGTAGATTCACTGAAGCTATCAATAGCCTTTAGGATAGCAAGATGTTTTTGGGGATATATCAGATCAATACGAAAGCACTAATATGATAAACTGAATTTGTTTTCCACCGGTCGTTTATTTCGATCTTTATTATAACAAGAGTAAAACTTTCTCGTTGAAAACTGGTTATATGTATCTGATATTTGTAATGTAATTCTAGTGGTGATTGATACCAGTGATAGTGAATTCGCCACAATGAATCGCGCTGTCGAGACAACAGCGTATTTAGTAAATAACCAAAGTTTGGAGCATAATATCACAATTCACCTTAGCAGACTTTTATTATGCCAACGAGTTTTTAATCAAAAATGTCGACTGCGTAATCCATTCTTCCCGGAATGATTTACTCGTTGCCGAAACCGTGTAGTCTCAATACCAACTATGCTCTGCATAACAATTGGACGTTTTTCAAACTAAAAACTATTTCAGATGACAAAGTATGAGCATTTACATTTTAGTTATAATGAAAACTGGATGGATATGAATTTTGATTGAAATATCTTACATGACATATCTATCAGGTATTCTAATCAAATCAATGTTATGTATCCAGGCTTTTTTACTGTTAAGGCTCAAAACTTCTTTCAACACTTTCAGCATTACGCAATAATGTGAAACTTGAATTTCAACATCGCTGACCTGACTTTTAATATATTTCTAGATTTATGGTGCGTATCAAAAACCGATATCTCGTTTGTTTCGTTTCAATTCAACCTCAAAACTCAAATTCATTTATACCAGGTTATCCTGGTTGTCAAAAGGAGGATACGGTGGCAATGCGCTTGAATGAGTCTGATCTATCGAGTATAATCAAACAAAACATCATTCTTACACATGGTTCACTTGGAGTTGGTAAATGTATGTCTCGTTTAAGAGTAATTCACTGGTGTCCTGCTTCCGGTTTATTGATTATACGTTGTCTTCGTAGCGTATCTGTTTACATCCAGGCAGCACTCTCTTTAGTTACCTACTTAGATCTCAGTAAGTTTAAAGAGCTATTTTACTTTGAAAAATTCCTGTAACCACCTCAAGTATCTTTCTCTTTGATTGACTCCGTACACATTATTTTTACTGAATAGAAATCTTAGTTAAAATACGGTAAGTTACAAGTGAATATTTCAGTTAGCTTTAGATTATCCAGTTGGATTGCTCATAATAAACATTAGGAAACGTTCACATTTAACTCAACACAAGATCTTCCTAGCAAAACTTTATAAGGAAAAAAAGATTCAGAACTATATGATACGTTAGCGCAACATATTTCGACCAATCTGATCATATTTATTTGTTACGATGTCCATATCATAAAAAATTGATGTCGAACTATACAAATTAGAAGGTAGAAAAAACAAGGACAAATCTCTACATTCCGGATAATTAATTAACATTACCATAGTAGGCTTAAACTCAAAAATGTTTCTGAATACATAAAAAAGCGGCTCGAATCTTCATGTGACTAATACTTCAACCTATCTTACTGTTCACTCCTAGGTACTTATATACAACACCAAAATATCTGGTTTTACATCAACTCCATGGCCCATCTCGTCGAAATGTTGGTTGAGTAACAGATTGTTCGGGCAATTGAATATCAGTCGTACCGTTTGTAAATGTAGTATTATTAAAGTAATTATTCGTTTAGAATGGTCGGACTGCACTCTGAGTTAGAAATAATAACCAGTCCCGAGTTTCAGAATAAATCAGCAGGAAACTGTAATGATTAGCTACGACAACTCGCCTCAAAAAAGGAATTAAATTGAACTCTCGATCGTCTTATCTTTCCAATCTATTGATAAGAATTTTCTACTAATTTAATTTATTTACTGACATATATTGTAAGCATGGATATAGTTATGCTCTAATGAATACTCAAACACCTATGTTTTGATGTGCAGTGTCCCAGATCTGAACGTGATACACACCAACCGCCCGAATCGGTCAACTGAACGAGAACGCAAGAGCAGAAGAGAAAGCTTATTTAGCTACAGAATCATATGCATAAATACTGATCTATGTATATAACCCCCTGTAGAAAATGGATCTATATCTTGACCAATGACATACGACATTTCTGATCATCAAATGGTGTCCCCATTTGACCACCTCTGATTCGCTCACGATATCGATCCACACCTTTACAGTGAAGGAAAAAAATACCGGCAAACGCTGTATTAAATTTCTTAATTTTTAATTGACAGATCATTCCCAATTTGCATATGGACATGTGATAAAATAATTTTTAAAATAGAAAACATTTGGATTGTAAGGTTTCTGTTGGTACATTGAACTAATAATGCAGCTACTCAGTTCTTTTCAGCAAAAGCACTAAATCAGTATTACTATTCTCTATAATGATAATAAATTTGGAAACACAAACATGCTTCGTAATATGGACTGTGGGATCAACTCTTTGATTTTTTAGCTAGCATGTATTAAGATACAATTCATGCAAACGACTCAATGTGTTACAACGGAAAAATTGTTAAATCTTTACTAGAATTTTTTAGTATTTTCTTTAATATAGAAATTCGATTGGTAAACTGAATTTAAGAAAAACAAAATTCCTTTGAAATTAGTTTACGCACAGATAAATAAACTATTGAATTGCACTTAATTTCATTTAAAAACAGATGGACAAAAAAGGAGATCAGTGATTGACATTTATCATACGAGCGGTACAACCAGAGGATGTCAAAAATTTCTAGTCAAGTTTTACTCTCATCATTTATTTTCAAGACCAGAACAAGTATTTCGAACAGCATTGTCTATTGCCGTTGAACAAAATATGATATCTCCGTATCCACCAAACATTAGTGAGGATTCTTAATTCCCTATTCATTCAATAAAGTACATAATACTATGATAAATGTCTTATCTGTTACTTAGTAATATGAAAACGAAAAATGTTTGACTTCACAAAAACAGTGAATTCTTTATTTTTAAATACAGTGACCACAATCCTAATAAATTCATAACCAACACTTTAAAAATTATTTCGGGTTACTTATGGTGAATTATAACACAGAATTGTGAAATTTAGAGTCTGTCAGTAAGAAAAGCAGATTCGGGCATAATTCAGTAACTGTCTCAATAAACAATATCACTAGACAATAGATACGCACTGTGAATGAATAGATGTGAGTTTAGTGACACGACAAATTCCAATAGTTAGAATTGAATTTTCATTTTGTGGGTACTTTAATTTCAAGTGAAACAATCAACTATATAAATCGATCGATACTACAGCTCTTTTTTACAACGTATCTAATAAGTCCCAAATAATCTGAAGATTTATGTTTTTGAATGGTAACAAGCGATATACATCATATCAACTATATATATAAGCACAAAATTCAACAATACATTACCAAAGTATAAGATAATACTGTAAGACGATAAAAAAAACAAGCACTTTGTGCTAAAGTGCTTAATATTATGTATTGAAATTAAAAAGCATTTTTTTTTTGAATTCTCAAAATGAATGATAATTATAATAAACAAACATTGAAAGGACATTGGGGAGTAAAACAATAACTACGTGTACATATATCAAGAAATACAAGGGGCGCTTCTATGGGAGATAATAAACTCACGTAAAATACTGCTTTAAATAATATCTATGGAATTAGGAATGGGGAATAATTTACTACTGTATAGAAACAATTTGTGAACAATAAAAGTGAGGTTGTTTAAAAAAGAAACATTTACAAGTTAAAAATATGAGATAGTCTTAGATTCGCATGCATAATAAATACAAACGAAACTAATTGTACAAAAAAATTTCGTTGTGAAACAAAAAACCTGACACAGATTAAAACAAAGTATTCAGTTTTGCAAGATAAGTTAGAGTATATGATTACTAATACAAGATTCAATTAGACTTCATTTACAATAGTTTACATGCCAAATGTCAATATTTCATAAAATAAAAAAGTAATTGCTTGTTTATATAAATCAACATGCGAAAAATATAACGAAGTAAATATATAACACAGCCCTACATAGACACTCAAAGTCGTGAACCGAAATCACAGATTCAGCAAACAGCAAAACACAGTGACAGCAAGGAAATAGATATTATTTATGTATGTTGAGTAAAGTTATGAGACAGTAAAGGCATTAAAGCATCTTATGGATTCGGAGTGATGAAAATACATGTTGGGGTACCTGTGAGTAAACTAGTTGAAGAAATACCATCAGCTGTAGCTACGAATTCCGGCTGAAGATTAGGTTGTGCTGGATGGAAGCTAGTTGGAAGATCGGTGCCTGAAACAGTCGTATTAGTGGGTAACTGAGTGGCAGCTATCATAGGAGCGAAAAATGCACCAGTTTGATTAGCGTTTAGGCCGTCCGGGGAACATGCTATGGCAGTGAAATAGGGTGAGGTTTGAGGATGGTGAAATCCGGAAGGATACGCTTGAACTGGCTGGGGAAAAAGTGAAGCACGGATAGTGTAACAATTCGGCATGGTCGGTGTTGTGATGCACGTTGATGCTATGACATTGTTCACGGAAGTTCCATGCACACATTCCGCACTCGTTTCATTTTGATGCTGTGATGGAATAGTAGTTAAAACCGCAAAGCTTGGTGAAACTGTAGAAGCGGTTGGGTTCTGTGATACTACTATGTTACCTTCGGTTGAGGAATTGGGAATACAGCTTGAAAGTGGTGTGGATGAAACTGCCAAAAAGTGACCATGAGGCTGGGTAGCGAACGTTCCAGTGGCGAGATTAAAAGTGTTCGCAAACTCAGTATTAACTTGACTCAAAACAGGGACTGCGGAGAGTGACATAGAAGGTAAAGCTGCGAAAACTAATTGCGAGTGGGGTGATATGACACTGGAGCCACCGAGACCTGTAGCACTAGGAAAAGCATGTAAAGTAACCTGCCCAGGATGAGAATCACAGGTAGCGAAAAGTAGTCGTTGTTCCGTAACAGGTTGATTAACGTTGATTCCATCGTTAAGTACACTTACTTTTTCCACACCCAAAGGATTAGACTGAAAAGTAGAGCTATCTGCCAAGTCTTCTATTTTCAATTTACGAGAAGTTTTAACTGTGTCATAGCATTTTGTCGCATGTGGAAGGTTACGTTTCCCACTACAGTTCGTCTTAGGACCAGAAGCTAGAGCTACTGGACTTTTAGTTACACTAACTTTCGAATCACAGTTAGAAGGTTTTTGATTACTCTTTTGGTGCACTTTTGTATGACGCTTACGTTCATCCGAACGAGCAAAACTACGACCACATATATCACAAACAAACGGTCGTTCACCTGTATGCGTTCGCATGTGTGTAGTTAGATGATCTGAACGCGAAAATTCCCTTTGACATTCAACACACTTGAAAGGTTTTGCACCAGTGTGAATTCTCGCATGTCGCGTAAGTTCGTCCGACCGCGAAAAGCATTTATTACATGAAGTGCATTTGTGGGGCTTTTCTGATATTCTTTCAGGTATATTGGATGTTATCCCTGTCTGAGATTCTATTTCAGAATGAACTCCATATTCTCCTTTAACTGTTCGGCTCTTATTACGAGTTGTCGCTTTACGCTTTCTTGAGACCCCAGTTCCTTTCAGAGTATATTTAGATAAATACTCACTACTACCTATGTCATCTTCCGTGACAACCGTCGTATCTGGTGTACATTCAGTAGGATTATTTATAACAAATTTATGCGGTGTATTAATTAGATCATTATCAACTGTTATTGTATCAGTGAAGCACGTATGTTCTTGCTTTACTATAGTATCCTCTGTAACAGAAGCCTGGGTGAAACTATCACCGACAGATACATTAGTAGCCTCCACATTACCACTGGCCAATAAATTTGGAACGGGCGATAGAAATGAAAAAGTACCGGTTGGATTAGCTAGGCCAGTTAACAAACCAGGTGTATAGAAACCTCCGGGACCAGGAGACGCCAGAAGCGGTAACAAAGCGGTGTTCGGAGTTGTAGGTGTCAGGAGACCAGTACTGTTATCAGCAGTTAACAGTGTGGTTAGTGTTAGACCGTTTCCTAGAACAAGCGGGGCTGGTATGTAAGGCGGCTGGTTTCTAGTTGAGAAAGCTATTGCAGAAACAGGATTAGAGTCTGCTGAAACGGACAAACAAGGATTCTGTGTAAGGCCGACATTACTGATGACAACAGCATTAGATATCGTCGATAGATTACTGGCTGTAGTAGATGTATTTATTGGGTAGGTCGAATGTGAAACAGCTGTTTGAGCAACAGTTATAGATGTGTTTTCAAGACATGATAGTGCATCAGTTAAGAGTGGCAAATCATTCAGTTGAATTGTAGTGCTACTATCATTACTAGAAATAACTGATGGAAACGAAGTTGAAGTATTACCACTTGATTCCAATTTAATTGAAACAGGCACAGAATCGATTTTTGCTGTAGTACTGTCAGGGGAAAGATGGTTTAAATATAACACAGATGATACAGTTGATGTGTTAACTTCAGAATGAGATGAACAAGATCGTTGATTTAATTCAAACTGAGATATGAACAAGTTTTCTGTCTGTAAAATCCCAGGATCTGGATGCAGAACACCGGATTTTTCCGTATTATCTATTTTTAAAAATGAAAAGTTGGGTTTTTATTTATTATTCATATCTCTTCACGAAATTAATCACTTGGAATAGTTATCAATCTATACCAAAAGCCTATGGTTAATAACGAGAGACGTATTGCCTGGATTATTTATGACAAACAATTCAAAGGATTACAACGCCACAAGACAAACTGATATATTCGTATGTCCAGTACATCTAACTCAGTGGATGTCTTCTCTGAAAATACTAAGACATCTAGTACAAAAAACGTTTTTATCAACTCTATTAAAAATCTTAGTGCTACTTTAATGGTCGATAGCTGGATTTTGACTTATTCATCTCTTAAATAAACTTTACTCTTTTCATATCATTAAACTTAAAATGAATTACGTGTGAATATTGTCGGAAGGAAGCTAGCAGAGAAAAGAGAACACAACCCATGCTAACCAAAAGACTAGTTTACTGCGCAGCAGTTCGTTCCGTCCTACTATATGCGTGTGAAACATGGCCAGTAAGAGTAGAGGATATTCGTAGGTTACTAGTATTCCATCATATATGTGTAGGAAATATTGCCTGTGTATCCTGAAACCACCGAGTCGGCGGTACTGGTGTTAGGAAAAGCGTACTAGATAAGAATGATAAACCAATTGATGGAGTACTGCATCTTCATCAGTTGAGATGGACGTGACATGTGCTAGATAGGCTCAACCACCGACTGCCTCGATGAGCGGTGTTTTGTGATGTGGGAGTGAGTGAACTGGAAGAAAGCTAGGGGCGGCCAAACTAAAACATGGAAATAATCCATGAAGTCATTGACAACTGAACTGAGCCATGTCGGTAAGTGTAGACTACCTGGTTGCGGCCTGCGAGCTGATAGTAATCGATGGTTAGAAATCCTGAATGACATGGATCAAAACCGTTTGCGATGACGCAGGTGCACTCATTCTTTGTGTTCTCTCAACTCCTAACCTTCTGAATTCCTCATCACCTTTGTCTTTTTATTTTTAAGTTTCCTTCACTAGATTCTACTTCTTAAATAATATCTTCAAATCCTAACTCTAACTGGCCATGTATCACACTCGTAAAGTAGAACGGAGCAAACTGCTGCACAGTACACTGATCCTTTGGTTAGTAAACGGATATCTCTCCTACACCATTGGTGACACTAGTTGGCAGAAGCCAATCTAGCCTTCTGCATCCGTACCGAGATTTCGTCACTCTCCAGGCCATCAGCACTGATGAAACTCCCGAGATAAGTGAGGCGGTTGACGACACGCTCAACTACTCCACTCCCTATCACTAGTTCAGATGCCAATGCAAGCCGATTATGAAGCAACATTTTGCATTTCGATGGGTGAACCACATCCCGAACATGCTTGCATTGTTGCTTAAGGCAGCCACAAGATTCTACATTTTGTCAGTGTCTTCACCAAACTATGTCATCGTCATATTCTAAGTCAACAAACGAGTCTCCTCGTAGAAGGTCAACTCCTGAAAAGTCACACGATGAAAGTGTCATCCCTAAAAGCACATCAATGACGAAGTGAAAGAACAATGGAGAAAGTGGACAGCTCTGACGAACACAACTTGAAGTAATCAATCCCGCTAACAGTTAGCCACAAGCTCTCTCTCTCTCGGCCGGCAGCGTTCCAGTACAGAACCTGTACAAGGTTAATGTACTTCTCTGGTACTCTCTCTTTTAGATAACAGATTACTGCCGGACGTCTAAATGTGAGTTTGTTTTCTAGGACCTGACGAAGTGTGAATATTTGGTCTATACATCCACGTACAACCAGCGATTGAGACCAGTCAGATGGAATTACATCTAGTTCCCAGATTCGACATAAGATCTCGACCAGTATCACTGCTGAAACTGGGTCACCATCCTTAAAAATCTCAGGGGTTAACCTATCAGGGCCTGCTGCTCTCTATCACTTCAGATTTCCTAGTCTTTTTCAACTTCATTCACAGTCGGAGGACTAACATCAATTAGCCATTCAGGGTCGACCGGAGATGTTGGGTAACCGAAGTGTGACTGTAGGCCAGTTGATTTGATCTCTAAAGTGTTCTGACTATCGTTCCAATCTACTGGATTGAGAATGAATAATAATCTCATCTTTTTCGAAGAGTCTTACTAACAGTCGAATAACTGATACCGGTTTCCTGGATAAGTCTGAATATTTGTCTACAGTTACTTATCGAAGCTGCCTTTCCCATTCCTTGTTTTATCACCACTCAACACTTCTTTACCATGGAGTAGGCTTCTTATCAACCTACACTTAAGCTGACTCCGTCTTTCGTCATGTTCAGAGCCACACGGGATGCATTTCCGAGCATCTATCAGTTTGGCAGATGTTAATAAGATCCACTGCTCCTCCCTAACCTTACGGTTTACCGTACTAGCAGATATCACTGTTGTTTCCACAGCCTTTATGATATCATTCCAAACTGCCTCGAAGTGGGCATCACTTACACACACACCTTTTAGTCGTTTATATATATACTTAGCTCTGATTTCATCAAGTAGAACTCTGAGAGATCTCCTTGCGATGTCTTTCCTACCTCAAGTAAGACGCCCATACTAGAGCATTATCTGAGTCTAAACATATGCTCCATAACAAGTGGCTGTCTTCCATCGAGCCTCTAAATCAGTGACTGATAGCAATGTGATCTAGTTTGTTCCATCGTTGGGTTGATTTCTGGGTTCGCCAGGTTAAGAGATGGTTTTCCTTGTGCTTAAAGTTAGTATTTGCTAGAAATAGGTGGTTATCTGAGCATAGCTGTAGCAGACTGTTTCCATTACCTGTTCGATTAGCCGTGACACCGTAAGATGAACCCAGGTGTATTTCCTATTCACTGAGTCTACCTACTTCAGCAATGAAGTCACCAGCCACCATTACTTTATCAGAGCGCTCAACTTTTTGAAGGTCAGAAAGGTTTCCGTAAATCCTATCTTTTACATCGTCTCAGCTGCAGTTAGTGGGGACGTAAGCAGAGACAAGGAAGAGGCGAAGTAACTGATCATAAGTGTATTTTAAACTCACTTATATATCACAATACCGACCGTAGCTGCTACCTTGAGGTGATGGTCGGGCTTGTCTATCGTGATGACTCAAGCAAGCTATATTGGCTGGAACCTATGTTGCTGAAGGTTCTACCATGCCAGGTAGCTCCATTGGAGAACGATGAGACTGAAAGCAGCTACTCAAGGTCTGAAGGCGAAGTCGTACTGCTGACTGCAGAAGGGTGTGACAGTAGTAAGGTGTTTCCCTCGGACAACCAGCATCTGCAGCGATGCTGCCTTCTCACAAGGAAGGAAGGGTTAGAAAAGGTCGACCCTAAAAATGTCACACCTCACACTACCTCACGGATTTCCATCTCCGTCGGTAAAGGCTTCCCAATAAGGGCTTTTAAAAGCGGAAAGAATACTCAAGAAACCTTTATTAAGAAGGCGGTGCGTGACCGGCCTCAAGAAGTTGTCTTTTGGACTCTACGGTCACGCTCCCTGGTCGTCAAGACCAACGCTAATCCACCTTCCTTTCCAGATTCCTCAAGAAGCACCCTTACACGGTGTGCGCAGCCGGGAAGTCACATCCGCCCTCATACCCATAAGCACACACGAGACCAAATCGGTCAAATTCAAATCCTTTCTACACCTCTAAATAACTCTCTGATCTCCTCGATCAACACTTCAGACAGACAGACAGATACAACGCAGAACTTCGTACATGAGTACATCAGTTCAGGTTGCCATGCCACATCAGCACAGAGACGCAACTGTCAGTTCAAATCCAACAGTGAAAGCGATAGCAGAAGTATTAGCAATAATGGAGAAGATTAGGGAGCGAAAACATGATTCGAGAAGTATAATTCGGTGAGATACATTTAAAAAAAGAAAGATAGGGATGAGGAGGAATTCAGGTCAGAATTTAAGAGAACACAATGAATGAAAGTACCTGCGCGATTGCAGACTATTTTGAGTTATGTCATTCAAGGCTCTAACCATCGGTTACTTTCGTCTGGCGGACCCAAACCAGGTAGCCTACATCTGCCAACACGACTCAGTCCACTTGTCAGTGACTTCATGGATTTCTGCCATGTTTTGGTTTGGCCGCCACTAGCTTTCTTCCAAACTACTCCTGACCAACCCTTCTTTCGATCGTTTATCACCTCACGCCACTGAAGCGAACGGTATGAGCTCAAGAAACATTATTTCTGGTCTCTTGAAACCCCGTAATAAATTATATATAGGAGCATTTAATGTCCGGACCCTATGCCAAATAGGGCAACAAGCTTCATTAGCTAGAACTTTGGAATCCCGAGCGATCAATGTACGTTACGGCTCCGAAACGCGCATACAAGATTCGAGCAAAATCATCAATTTGATTTCACCTAGAGCAGATAGAGACATAACAAGGTTTACGCTTCGAGTTTCTGGAAGCCCTGATGCCGCTTCTCGTGGCCTCGCCGGCGTAGATATAATACTAAGTCGTGGGGCAGAACAAACTCTCTTAGACTGGATCCCGATAGACAGTCGCTTATGCACTGTCCAGCTAAATGGGACGGGACGGACTCGGGAGGATAGGGACACTCGCCATTGCCTCTTCGTCGTATCTGCCTACGCTCCTACTGACTGCAGTTCAGACGACATGAAAGATATGTTTTATAGAAACCTTTCATACCTTCTCTAAAATGTTAAGCGCTCTGGTATAGTAATAATGGCTGGTGACTTTGACGCTTAAGTAGGTAGACTCAGCGAAAAGGAAAGACACCTAGGTGGATCTTATGATGTCGTGGCTTAGAGAACAGATAATGGCAACCGTCTACTGCAGCTATGCTCAGATAACCGCCTATTTCTAGCAAACACTAAACATAAGTTAAAACACCATTTGACTTGGCAACCCCAAAAGCTAACCCAACGATGGACCCAGCTAGATCACATCGCTATAAGCCATCGGTGGAGAGGCTCTGTTGAAGACTGCCTCCCATTCTGGAGCACTTGTTTAGACTCAGACCATGCTCTAGTGCGAGCGTAAATTTGTTTGCATCTTAGAAGACGCAAGGTGTTAGGGCCCCACTTACTGATAATAAAGCTAAGAATATATGTCAGGAACAACTAGAAAAACAGTTAAGCAGCTATGTAGTAAGTGATGCCCACCCTGAGTCAGCTTAGAATGGCATCGAAACGGCTGTAGAAACAGCATTGATATCTTCTAGCAAGGTAAACCATAAGGTTAGGGAGAAGACGTGGATTTCAGTAACATCTACCGAACTCGTCATCATCATCAAGAGCAACGTAGAACTTTGCACGTAAGTACAGCAGTTCAAGTTGCCATACTACATTAACACAGATATAATTGTCAATTCAAATCCCATAGTAGTAGAGGTAGTAAAGTATTAGAAGTAGTCGGAGGGATTAGGGGTAAAGAGGTAAATTTAGAAAGAGAAAGATAGAGCTGATGAGGAATTCAGAATGTTTGGATTTCATAGAACACAAAGAGTAAATGAGCCATGTCATTCAGGGTCTCTAACTATCGATTATTATCATCTCGCAGACCCCAACCAGGTAGTCGAAAGCAAGGGAGATAGAAAAAGGTAACGGTGCTAGGTAAAAGTAGGCAACTATTAAGATTTATCATGGAAAACGGTATTAGGAACCCGAATGTGAGTGAGACTAAGTCGGAAAAAGATGGAACTATTATTCATTCTCAATTCAGGAGATCGGAAGGATGGGCAGAACACTTTAAGGATCAGTTCAACTGGCCTCGAGCCACTCTTCGGTTACCCACGATCTCCAGTCATCCTGAATGGCAAATCGACGTAAGTCTCCCTAGTCTTAATGAAGTTGAGAAAGCGTTAGGAAATCTGGAGCGCGGGCGAGTAGCGGGTCCTGGTAGATTGACCCCTGAGATTTTTAAGGATGATGGTCCAGTTTTAACAGTCAGATTGACCGAGATCTTAGATAGAATCTGGGAACTAGCAGAATCCCATCAGACTGGTTTCAGTCGCTAATTGTCCCAATTTACAAGAAATGACAAAAGTCCTATTGTGACAATCACAGAGGAATCAGTCTAACTAATAAAGTACCTAAAATATTGGCCTCAGTAGTACTTCGACGCTTAACGAAAGCTCGTGAAGAGCAGACTAGAGAAAACCAGGCTGGTTTCCGATCTGAACGTGGCTGTGTAGACCACATCTTCACACTACGACAGGTCTTGGAACACAGACACATTTAGGCGTCCGACAATAGTAGTCTTCCCGGGCCTTAAGGCGGTATTTGACTCTGTAGATCATGAGGCTCTGTGGCAGTGTCTGTAGTAGAAAGATGTACCAAAGAAGTACATTAACCTTAAACAAGCTCTCTACCCGAACACTACAGGTCGAGTTAGAGCTTATGACAAACTGTCATTGGAATTCTTTACTTCAAGTGGTGTCAGTCAGGGATGTCCACTTTTCCCATTCTTGTTCAATTTTGTCATAAACATGCAGCTAGATATAACATCATCTTCGTCTGACTTTGCAGGAGTGCACCTTCTATCAGGAAACTCGCTTTCTGGATTAGTATATGCTAATGATATAGTTCTACTTGGCGGATACGTTGATAAAACCCAGTCTTCTGACTAACCTAAGCAACAATGCAAGCATGTTGGGAATGCGGCTTTCCCCCTAGAAAAGCAAAATATTACTTCAAGATTGGGTTGCATCGGCACATGAACTAGAGATAGGGAGTGAAGTAGTTGAACATGTAGACCGCTTCACTTAACTTGGGAGTCTCATCAGTGCTGATAGCCTGGTGACTGATGAAATCTCAGCACGGATACAGAAAGCTCGATTAGCTTTTATCAACCTGCGTCACTAATGGCGCAGGCGAGACGTCCGTTTTCTAACTAAAGTACGAGTGTACTACGCAGTAGTTCGCCCCATTCTCTTATATGGATCCGAAACATGGCAGGTAAGAGTAGAAGATATTCGTAGGTTACCAGTATTCGATCACATATGTCTTAGAAGCATTGCTCGTGTATCATGGGACAACAGAGTAATGAATGCTGTTGTTAGGAAACTGGTGCTGGTTAAGGATGACAGGTCAATATATGAAGTATTGAAACTTCATCAGTTGAGGTGGTTGGGACATGTGTTGCGTATGCCTAACCACCGACTGCCTCGTCGAGCAATGTTTTGTGGTATAGGAATAGGTTGGAAGAAAGCTAGGGGCGGCCAGATCAAAACATGGCAGAAATCCATGAAGTCACTGACAAGTGGACTGAGTCATGTCGGTAGGTGTCGACGACCTGGTTGTGGCCCACGAGCTGATAGTAATCCATGGCTAGAGACCCTGAGTGACATGGCTAAGAACCGTTTGCAATGGCGCAGGTGCATTTACTCTTTGTGTTCTATGAAATCCAAACATTCTGAATTCCTCATCAGCTCTATCTTTCTCTTTCTAAATTTACCTCTTTACCCCTAATCCCTCCGATTACTTCTAATAATTTTACTACCTCTACTACTATGGGATTTGAATTGACAATTATATCTGTGTTAATGTAGTATGGCAACTTGAACTGCTGTACTTACGTGCAAAGTTCTACGTTGCTCTTGATGATGATGATTTATATCACAATAGGAAAAGCCTACCACTACGTCTCGGTTGCTGCTAGAGTCGAGAAGGCTGATGAGATTCTTCTGTTACGTATTTCAGTTGCAAGCTGTCACAAACTTCTAGGGCAACAGTCAAAGTTTACTTTAATGCCAAGAAAAACACAGTAGTTGGGCATCTTTATGCTTTAGAAACTGGTGAAGAATGAACACCGGGTAAAAAAATTCAAGTCTGTGCCTGAAACCAACCTAATCTAACGAGTTCGCTCTTCACAATTACGTTTAGTTATTAAATCACTAACAACAGACTGATTTACTTCATATATAAATAAGCGACTTAAGGTCAGAATGAACCTTACTTTTCCTTGAGCTACAGAAGGCTTCAGAAGGGTCATCTAGGATTTAGTACAAGCACTCCTTTTCTTTTAAGTTCTTATACGCAACCAAAATGATTGACCGGCAGGAAGATCTGACCTAACTTCATGGCTGGAGGTGTTATAACAGACTTACTTTCAACAGTTCAAAGTGTAAAGTAGCCGATTTGAGACATATTACAAGCGACACATACAACTCAACGAACTTTCCTTTATACGTGTCCCAAGTTGAGTCTTGGTACGCTATGATCCAAAGTCTTACTCTGTGGTAGTAAAAATTTTTGACCAGTCTGACACAAGGACTTTTCAGTTAAACTTTGACATTTCGCTTTGGCCCCAAATAAAGTATGGAAATATAGTACTTCTTTCTCACTCCGAAAGAATAAAATAAACTGGAACATGTGCGAAGGCGAACGAGGACTCAAATTTAAACCTACCAAGGGCACTTCGTCGCTGAATATTTATCCATCAGACTATGTGTCTCAGAGGTAATCCAATGACTAAGAGCATCCTAAACACAACAACATAGCAGAATGGACTGTAGAAACATCTTGCACTCTACCAGTAGTCAACTTCCGAAATTTTTTGCCGACTATTACCATTAGTGACTCCCCAGAAGTCCTTCCAAAAGAAATCTGGAGTGTTCTTAGGGACTCAAGAGGGCATTTTATCATTTACCAATATCTCTTTCTGGCTCCTTAAACAAGGAGGGATCGGTGATCTACTGCGACTAGATACGGAAACACATTCAGTGAAAGCGATTGTGTCTAAAACTATTTGAACTACTTAGTCACAAACTTTATATATGTGGAAAGCGGTAATCCAGTCACTATATAACGTCTAGTTGCTAGACTCAGATAACTTAGCTACTGATATTGGACCACCATTCCTAGGGATCCCTGTATTTTTTCGCTTTAGGCTAGCTTAAGTCACAGTTTCCCATAAAATTTATATTTTTAAACCATTTAAGCTATACTTAATGGGAGTATAGGCAGAAATAAAAAATAAATAGCGTAATTCTATAATTCTTAACGCATATTGTACGACTGAAACGGGATTTCCATGGCCAACTAAAGACAAGAATCTGGTTAGAAGAAGCCAATTCTGCTTTGATACTTAGTGCTATGTTTAAAATAAGAAGTTGTCGCGCCTTTGGATTTTAATTAAATACATCACAGTGGACCTCTGTACGGTTCGGATGCATAATGTATGATAAGGCAGTTAAAATAGTTCACGAAATAACGAAACCATATAGACGGACAAGTTAATTATAGTCAAATTCGAACCAACGAATATTACAATGTGTTAAAGAAAGACCCAGAATACTCACCGGTTGTATTAGGATGTTCTGACCCTACAGATCCAGAAGACTGATGGTCATTTGAAAGTGAATTGAGGACAGGGAGACGTTTATGAAAATCATCGGCGAAAAACAACCCCCCTGAACTCGAGGTTTTAGATATTGCAGTGGGAGTATTTAGAACCTCATTTGCATCAATAAGGAAAAACTTTGTGGCGTCAGATGCGGTTTTAGGAGTTTCACCTGAATGAAATGAATCGAAAGATACATGATATTCGTCTAATGACTGTACTCCAGAAATTTCGTTGGTCATGCTCTCAAAACAGTAGCTGATGTATAATTTTGAGATATGTTAGCACCAACTGTCGAATTTCCTGTAACTTCCTTTAGTGAAGAGAATTCATGCAGCACATGATATCCACCAATCGTGAAATAGAGGCGGTTCGAGGTCCGAACTTCTGTCAAGAAATAACTTAAATGATATTAACTCTGAAATCCACTTTGGCAAAACAGAATCCTGAAGGTTTAGTGTCGAGCCAAGATTTGAGCGATAAGGATAGGACACTTGAAATCTTTGCTATTGTGTTAATACAGGTTAATTAGGAATAAAGAGGTTCTCTCATAGGGTATATTTCGTCTTTGAAAGTAAGAAATAGTACGTCAGCTGATGAACCATAATGACATAATAATGTTGAAAACCAAACATAAATCTAGCAGGAATATTGCCTTAACGATCAGTAGGCAAACGAAACCGGGAGTACCTTGCAAGGTCATTGGACCTAGCCAATCAGAACGCGAAAACAAGGTTTTAATTTTCAAGGTCGAACAGTCACAAAATAAGCGCTTCATTGAGTTATGCGTATGGAGCTGCTCGTTGAAATGCATAGCAATCTTAGTGCGGTATGTTGAATTCTCTGTAAATGCTACGGCTCGCAATACAGTAACGCTAACTTCTTTAAAATTTTTCATTATTTATCAGGCTCACTTTAATGAGCGGTGTGCTAAACAGTGTATGAGAGTCGGAAATATCGAGGGAGCAATCTGTTACTACAAAAAGTCTATTGGTAAGCAACTAGCGTGCTTTTTACGCTCATTTGAATTTTGATCCTCACATGAACTATATTTATGTATTCATCACCTACGAATGTGTATGTACGGCTACGCACCAAAATAATTATAATCACTTTAGATTATAGATAATCTAAATATATTTATGTTTTATGCATTTATATAATGTAATGTGTATTCTCATGGGATTGGTTCGAACTCCAAAGTGCTGTTATGTATAGATCCCAAGTGGTCTTTGTCACTGTTACGTCGTAAGAAAAATGGTTATATGGCTTACAATGATCCGTGTCCACAGAAGTTACTAATATTTCTAATGCGTCATAGATTCCAAATGGTTTTCCAAGCTGAAGCTTGAAGTCACCCCATGCCCTAAACTCTTACTTATTCCACACAGAACGAAGTAGTGCGATATTAAAACACCTGCGTAAAATATAAACCTATGGCAAAACAATCAGCGTCTAGTCTTTGTAAGAAATATGTCCTTTTTACGTGTATTCGTATTAGTTCAAGGGGAATTTTTTGAGGCTTCTAGATTGTTCACTGATTCCTTATGATTTCTGAACTAACAAGTGTCATTATTTTCATTTTTATATTCATCTTGTTATGATTTCATTGAGTTTATGGAAGCTTATACTGATTACTATTTACACTAATCACAATGCTATTTGTCTATCCGCTCAGTACAAATACAATCCTGATCGACCTAAAGCCATTAATGCTAACAATCATCCCAACTTGAACTGCTTATCTATGGAACGACGCTTTATACTCCTTAATATATTTTAATCCTGCTTTCTGTTTAGTTATAGAGTCTCTTATTGCTTTTTACAGCCTTAATGGAACTAGTTCGAGAAGAGGTTGAAGAAGGAGATCATGATTACGTGATTATTGATTTACAGTTATCATCACTGAAGTTGAGCTTAAGTGAGGCAGTGGCGAGAAAGGCCGAAACAATATCTGGTGACCGAAACGCTTATTCGAAGACGATTCCTTATAACCAGTTACCGAAAAACGAAAAATTAACCGACACTTCGTCATACTCATCTCTATTCTCTAATCAAACATCCAGTTTAATGGAACAAACGGCTGCTGTTAAACTGCCTAAGACTGAATTCCAAACACGTGAAGAATTAGTTACGTGTATTGAAGAACTTCGAAAACTTGTGAGTCTTTATTATTTGGAGTGAAAATAAAAATGGCGTTAGTATAACAACTTCATTGTTAAAAGAAATTTCATACACTTATAACCTCACCTTTCTTTACTCGGTGAAAAATGCATGTTATAAGTCTAACCCTTTACCCCAGGTATATATATGTATCATAGAAGCAAATAGGTTAATTAATATGGTTTCAGCTTTGTATCTTTAATCCACAAAGTGCTGTTCGCCTCATGTTTTAATATTTAAGAAAAGACTGCTGTCTGTAGCTTAAAATTACTAAATTATAGATAGCGAGCCGCATAGGTTTATTCCCCAATTCTTGCCCTTCACATAATCACACTACTTAATTCCATAAGAGTTACACCAATCCATATTTTCACTGTAGTCTATATAATCTTTCGAATCAATCACTATTTTTAACTCAGGTGAGTTAACTAATCCAAAAATTACGAATCTTAAATAGAGTTCTCGGCTAGCAATAGAGGACTACTGGATCTTCCCGATAATCTGCACGTATACCTCCGAGTAGTTATCATAACATACAACTAGAAACTTCTTCATACCCACTTATACGGTAAAGATTTGTGGGTTTTTTTTTATAAAAATCAACTGTGTCGTAGAGGAGATATTCATTCATAAATAATCTAGAAAAAGTTCATGGAAGCAGCGTTCGCGTTCATCAGCAACTTTTAATAGAAATATCAGTATTTGTTGGGACACATCCTAATGAGTTTTAAGCAGAACAAAGAATAGGTACAATCGAAGAAAAATCATTACAACTGTAGTGAGCAGTGACCTAAAAAAATAAAAGAATCGTTGCGTCGGATAAATAATTAGCATTTTTGTGTATTCATCAATGAAATTGGGTTTAGCTGACCAATTTCCATTATGGCTATCCAGTTGTTACTTTCACTATAAATTTTCCTCGGACTCTTATCTTTTGGGGAACTGATTTGAGGTAGAGAGCCAGTTGTACTGTCACATCTTGACACCACTCGTTGTGTTTATCAATCTATCCAACTAGTTAACACTGACATCCTTCATTCTAGGATCTCGTTGGGCTACAGCGTCCATTTTTCATGTAGCTAGCTAATTCACCGACATTATGCGAACTATGTTATTAGTTTCTAAAAAACGCAGCTATTTCTTGACGGTACTCATTTTCAAAAATACTGGTAATAGTTGTCTTTGGGTCACTTTTGTAAGAGCTAACAGCATTTAAGAGCTGCTTGAACTTAAGTAAATAAAGTAGGGCAGGAACCACTTCGTAGTTGAAGCGCTCTACTTTTGTCAGTTAGGTCACCTGTTCATATCCTTCTGGACCTAATTCGGTCTAGTCAGTTACGTAAAATTACTAACCATTACAAATGAAGTGTAGCTCAAAGCTGAATATACAAACTTGTATTTAATTATCATATTACATTAATAATTGCTCTAAATATATATCTTCCTGGTCTGCAGTTACCGTATGAGATATCACCACCTCGTTCCTGATGAAACCGAAAACTCGTGTATGACCCACTGTGTCGTAAGCAATTCAATCTTTCTTCGGAGATTTTTAGAGATTGCCAGATTTTACTATTTGCGTCACAAACTAACAGTCTAAATAAGGTCATTTTGTGACATAAGCTATAAAATTCGGTCTACTCTATTCTTCCAATAATATAATTAGTACTATGCCTCGTAATTTTAGTGGCACAACTGTAAGCTGTTGTCAGTAAAAGTGACTAATTCGTGCAGTTAAAATATTTAAACGAGAACAACTATCTATCAGTTGAAATTGATTGCTATTTTACCCATGTGTTTTAATGCGTGATAATCTTGTTTTCCTCCGTTAAACTTTTGAGGTGGATATGTTGACATCTCAACTAAGTCGAGTTCGTCAGATGCTTTCAGAAGAACGTGAACGTCGCCTTGCGATAGAGGCGGAACTGATGTCTTCAGGCGGTTTCAATTATCAGTCCAGTGAATCCTTGACCTATCACAATTCTGATGACGACGATGGTTTTGATGAAAACAGACCATGTATTTTCACAGACCTATCAAAACGTACAAGTTTGAACGTTAATGGAGATATCCCACTATCAACTGAGACAGATTCATTCAATGAAGATTCGACTTTACGCAAATCATGTCAAGTATCAAATACTGATATATCGGACTCATTAAATCCAAAATAATGTCATAGACCTCGTGCATCATGCTTGACTTTTTTTATTGACTATCATTTCCACTACCACAGCTCCCCCGGTGTTCGATTCAGTATGAAAGAGAATCAACCGTTTCGCAGATAATTCCTTGAAGTTATACGTACGGGCCGGCTATTTAACATGGGTCATTTTTCAAACGATAGACCTTTGTTACTCAACGAATATTACTTTATTTCATTTAAATCACTGCGTATGCATTTTTCTGCTTTGCTTGTCCTTTTCTTTTATACGTATTTTTTGAATAGCATACATTATGATGAAGACCACAAATCTTTCATCTTACTATCCTTAATATTCAAATAAACTGTATGATGTCTTTCAAACAGAGACTAATAATTCATCCACTCAGTGGTCTCCATTCCCGTTAACAAAAAAAAGATTTGTCTTTCAAAGAGTACAATAGTTATGATTTTAGTCTATTTTTAACCTAAAATATTGATCAACATTTACATTATTTCTTACATAAATAAATTATTGAAAATATCCTACGTTTCATTTCGTTATATACATTATACTTTACAATATAGATTGATATTACACACGAATCTTCTTGAAGATTAAAGTGGAAATCTCCCTTTCATCTTTATAACATGATCTTAACTCAGATTGTGGATTCGCAGTTACAAATAAACCTATGTTAACTGCTACAGTGTAGTTGAACCAAGTGGGTTATCACATTAAAACAAATGAAGACAGCGTGATTGTGCCGTGGTTTGAATTTTTATATGCCGTGCAAGTTAGGTAAAATTTTTAGGACGAAGACTTAGGCGGATACAGTTATGCCAGTATTATATTATTCATTGTGAATCCAGGAGATTAGGTCGATAGGCAGAACACTTTAGGGATCAAATCAACTGGCCTACAGTCACACTTCGGTTACTCAATATCTCCGGTCGACCCTGAATGGCTAATTGATGTTAGTCCTCCGACTGTGAATGAAGTTGAAAAAGACTAGGAAATCTGAAGTGATAGAGAGCAGCAGGCCCTGATAGGTTAACCCCTGAGATTTTTAAGGATGGTGACCCAGTTTCAGCAGTGAGACTGATCGAGATCTTATGTCGAATCTGGGAACTAGATGTAATTCCATCTGACTGGTCTCAATCGCTGGTTGTACGTGGATGTATAGACCAAATATTCACACTTCGTCAGGTCCTAGAAAACAAACTCACATTTAGACGTCCGGCAGTAATCTGTTATCTAAAAGAGAGAGTACCAGAGAAGTACATTAACCTTGTACAGGTTCTGTACTGGAACGCTGCCGGCCGAGAGAGAGAGAGCTTGTGGCTAACTGTTAGCGGGATTGATTACTTCAAGTTGTGTTCGTCAGAGCTGTCCACTTTCTCCATTGTTCTTTCACTTCGTCATTGATGTGCTTTTAGGGATGACACTTTCATCGTGTGACTTTTCAGGAGTTGACCTTCTACGAGGAGACTAGTTTGTTGACTTAGAATATGACGATGACATAGTTTGATGAAGACACTGACAAAATGTAGAATCTTGTGGCTTCCTTAAGCAACAATGCAAGCATGTTCGGGATGTGGTTCACCCATCGAAATGCAAAATGTTGCTTCATAATCGGCTTGCATTGGCATCTGAACTAGTGATAGGGAGTGGAGTAGTTGAGCGTGTCGTCAACCGCCTCACTTATCTCGGGAGTTTCATCAGTGCTGATGGCCTGGAGAGTGACGAAATCTCGGTACGGATGCAGAAGGCTAGATTGGCTTCTGCCAACTAGTGTCACCAATGGTGTAGAAGAGATATCCGTCTACTAACCAAAGGTGTAGGAGTAGGTTGGAAGAAAGCTAGGGGCGGCCAGACCAAAACATGGCACAAATCCATGAAGTCACTGACAAGTGGACTGAGTCATGTTGGTAGATGTAGACTACCTGGTTGGGGTCCGCGAGACGAAAGTCATCAATGGTTAGAGACCTTGAACGACATGGCTCAAAATCGTTTGCAATGGCGCAGGTGCATCCACTCTTTGAGCTCTCTCAAATCCTAATCTTCTGGATTAGCCAGCACCTCTACCTTTGTCTTTCTAACCTTATCTCACTGAATTATATTTTTTGAATAATATCTTAAACCCTAGTCTTCTTTATTATAACATTAATACCTCTACTATCTTTATCACTATGAGATTTGATTTGACATTTGCATCTCTGTGCTAATAATGTGGTATGGCAACATGAACTTATGTACATACGTACGAAGTTCTACGTTGCAACTGACTGACTGACTAACCAAAGGATCAGTGTACTGTGCAGCAGTTTGCTCCGTTCTACTTTACGAGTGTGATACATGGCCAGTTAGAGTTAGGATTTGAAGATATTATTTAAGAAGTAGAATCTAGTGAAGGAAACTTAAAAATAAAAAGACAAAGGTGATGAGGAATTCAGAAGGTTAGGAGTTGAGAGAACACAAAGAATGAGTGCACCTGCGTCATCGCAAACGGTTTTGATCCATGTCATTCAGGATTTCTAACCATCGATTACTATCAGCTCGCAGGCCGCAACCAGGTAGTCTACACTTACCGACATGGCTCAGTTCAGTTGTCAATGACTTCATGGATTATTTCCATGTTTTAGTTTGGCCGCCCCTAGCTTTCTTCCAGTTCACTCACTCCCACATCACAAAACACCGCTCATCGAGGCAGTCGGTGGTTGAGCCTATCTAGCACATGTCACGTCCATCTCAACTGATGAAGATGCAGTACTCCATCAATTGGTTTATCATTCTTATCTAGTACGCTTTTCCTAACACCAGTACCGCCGACTCGGTGGTTTCAGGATACACAGGCAATATTTCCTACACATATATGATGGAATACTAGTAACCTACGAATATCCTCTACTCTTACTGGCCATGTTTCACACGCATATAGTAGGACGGAACGAACTGCTGCGCAGTAAACTCGTCTATCGGTTAGCATGGGTTGTGTTTTCTATTCAGTGCTAACATCCTGAGAAAATAGCAACTGACTGTACATCCAAACAATCCGTGGCCTCATTAGTTCGCAACTACATTTATCCCTTACTGTGCATATTAGCAAATTTCGTGGAGTGGTGTTATTATCCGCCTTTTATTAAGACTTTCATGTCAACTAAGCTGTTACTGCACCACAACCGTGTGATACTTGAAAAGCCTTGTATGTCTTCTATTCCTAGTGTTTATATTTACCGACCTTACCGTTAGTTATAGAACTATGTCTTTTCATCCAAACCCAAAATGTCCAGGCGGAGCAGCCAAATAATTAGAGGAAAGACTATCCAGTATATGATTGACTTGTAAACTTTGCCAATAATGAGAAAATTATTATCTCTTATAAATGAATATTTTATTTACCAGAATAAAAAAGACATTTCTGTACAAATAATTCACCTAAGTTAAACGTATAGTCTTTACCATGACAGCAAAATTTCTTTTTCATTTCAACCAACTATTTACGGTATCTTTCATCACAGTGATCGATTTACCAAAAACGGTAGGCTGAACTTGAACAGGACGAAGACGTGTAATGAATTGCTTTAACTCGAGAAAACTGCTATGTTCACTATATGGTGCACCTATTTTAAAGATAGAATAACAATAAAAAGGCATGGTTTCAATATTGAGGTATTACAAGCGTTATTACTCTGCCATGAGCCCCTCTAGGGCTACTGCCGGTGCCAAGGCGGATAACGGAGTATTGGGCGTGGGGTTAGCAACTCCATCTCCTAGAAAACTAACTCGCTAAAAAAGCTAACCATAAAAATCAATCGGAAACATTTTAACTCTGTCCTAGGAGTTAGGAGGTCTTCATCCAGAAGTGTTATGAAGTCACACGATAAAAGCCGAGTTCCTTCGGAAGTCACCACGCCGATGAGCCTTCTCACAACCACAGCAATCATTCTTTTAGGTACATGGAACGTCCAAACTGTTCCAAGTTGCTGCATAAATCAAAAGAAACAACCAGGATATACTTGAAATCTGTGAAACCGTTTGGACGCAGGTTGGACAACTAAGACTAGCTTCAGGAGACCTGGTATTATACTCTGGCCATGAAGAAGATGTCTCACACATAAGGAGTTGCACTGATGCTGTCCAAACAAGCACAAAAGGCGCTGATAGCATAGACATCTCATGGACCCAGGATCGTCAAAGCATCCTTCAAAACAAAGAGACAGGGCATTACAATGAACGTCATCCAATGCTACACACCTAGCAAAGACTACAAGGGGCTGAAGTCAATCGTCGAGAGATGTTCATCGAAGGATTTTAGCATTCTGATGGAGACCTAAATGCCAGAGTTGGCATGGACAACGCCGGATATGAAAGCATTATGAGACGACATGGACTAGGAGAAATGAACGAAAATGTTGAGAGATCTGCAAACATATATACCTTCACATCCTCTTCAGCAAGATTCTGGATGAAGAACAACTACCAACAGACTGGAAAGAAGGATACCTGGTCAAATGAAATATTACAACAGTTCATTACACCCAACCATATATCGCTAAAAATCCATTTAGTATTGCATAAAACTGTACCAAAATTACAACAGACAAAATAATTATTATGAAATAGGTAGGTAGATAGGTAGTTACGATAATGGTTTCATGAATCTTAATCAAGGAACACTATTATTTTCAATTCAGATGAGTGATGTCTGGATACCTCTATTCAAGTTACAGATGATAATATTCAATAGTGTGAAAACTTAAATTGGAAAGAAACAGCTTTCCTTTTAACTTAGTGCTTTAAACAAAATACACTATAATTAACTTTTTCGACTTTCGTTACTGGATGGTAGATAATCAAATGAAATAACAACGATTAAATTACGATCATAATATGAAATATTCAAATGTAAACTAAGAATTTGTGAATTCTTCAGTCTATCTGAAGTTTGTGCTGATGATGTTGTCCGGAAGAACAATGAAAGCGCCACAATCAAAACATCCAGCTCATTCTTCAATCAATACATTTGCAACACGGAATAATTATTAAACTGTATCTTATTAGCAATACAAACTAGCCTGTAAGATAAAGTCCCATGTCATTAGGCGTATTTCACACAAGTGATAATCACCTAAGCAATCATTGATACATATATATATATATCAAATTGTTTTCCTACTGTCTAGCGAATTCTACTAGTGATTTTTACACAATAGTTTGATAAATATTTCTGATATTGGTTTAACTATGATTATATACACGAATTTATACGCTCTTTTTCATGTATAGAAATAATAAACTTTCAGTTTGTTTTTTTCCTGTCAATTCACTGGTCATCCCACTTATGACTAGACATTATAATTAAGTAAAATTTTAAGCTTCACTCAATTCCACTAAAACATGTGTTTAACTACTTTGGTCGCTACAAATGACCAAATGTATAGACAATAAAGAAAACACGTGGAAGGAAAACAATTAAATCAACCGCATATTTATTAGTGATAATACCAAACAAAAAGGTATCACGTTACTTTTATTATTATTATTATTACTATATATCTAATTCATTTGGAAGTCATCAAAAAGATGACACATAACATATGCTCACTTTATAACCAATGAGTTAATAATAATTGTGATAATTTTAGAGCAAATTATTGAAAACTTACATATACAAAGTATATTCAACAATGATTAATCCTGTAAATCGTAAAAACAAATCAACCTTCTATATTAAACTGAAAAATTTCAGATCAGTCATATATTAGTCTTTATTACTTAATTGGACAAGAAAACAGATAATGAGGTCATGTGAGAATATCGAAGTATAATAAGAACTGAAATAATTTATACTCCAAAAGTCAACAAAGGTAAATATCTGTGCAGACTTCTATTTCATCAAACTCCATTACATAATCTATAAACAACTACGAATTATGAGTATTCTGCACTTTTCAGTATTAAATGACACTTAAAATGATTTAAGTACCAGGAAAATCATGAAAATCGACTGGATAATTGAACTGATATCAAACTAATCGAAAGGAAAACTTATTAAAATTGTTTGCATAATGAAAATAGGAATCTTATAAGTAAGGAGATTAAATTGTTTCTCTGTCAGCTATGATCGATATCCACTAGATAAAAACAAGATTTATTTATCGCAATCAAAAAGAAAAATGTGGGCCAATTTAATTAGTAGTCTACATTTAGCAAACTAGAATCCATAACGTACACAGTAATGATTCAGATAGGAAGACTATGGAAATTACTTTGATTTAAAGATATTTTCGCATGTGTTGACCTCCTTTAGGGAACTACTAGAAACAGACAGGATGTTGCAGCAGCATGATCGGGCTGTGTGAGCTTATTATAACCCATAGTTGGAGATATCTCACAGAATCGATAACAATGGTGCAGATGTATTGACTGTTTGTCTTTCCTTAGATCTTGAGTTTGAAAATAAGTGTAGTTTTTATCCCACGGATGCATTTCTTTTTTTTTATGTTGTCTATAATTTATGTTTTCTACGACAACTGGTAATGTTACTAGCTCTATTACTCTGGGATTGACCTCGATATTGGTTACCTCGTTGTGCTGATATGGTGCGGCAACCTAAACTGCCGTTCATAATTCCCCAGTTTAACGTTACTCATGAATGATTAACTGAAGTAACTACTTTCACCTAGTTTGAAAATGATCACCATCGACCCAGACAGGTATCAGTATCAAACAATAATCTTATGTCACAATGCTTTAAAATCTAGTGGTCCGTATGTTTAAATTCATTTAATTCAACATATGGTATAATCATCATAGTCTTCAGATCAATATGACTGAACACTATTGGTTTAACAGACCTCTTGTCAATCTATTTTATTTGGTTGCACGGAGTGAGGATATGTAAGCACAGAGTACAACTACGTGTATCAACAAACATTTCAGTAGATTTGCGTAGATAAAAAGACGTTTAATTCATTTGTTTATAAATAATCATCAAAAAATGTCTATTTCTAAATTACATGTCTTTCTTCAAAACCAAGTCAAACAGTACAATAAATATTTCAAACACCAATTACCACATAACAGATGAGTTAATAAATATCTTCAAGCAATATCATAGAATCATTCAGGTGATAAGTATTCACAATGACAAAAACACTAAGTATGTAGATACAAAGCAACAAAATTTTTTTCGCCTCTTTAAATTTAAGCCTAAAATAATTACAATCAAGTAAATTAATTCATATGAATTCTTTCAGCTTAATATTCATAATATTTTTTTAAACTAATAAATAACACACTAGAATTACCTTTATTAATCAACATTTTTAATTGATTTTTAAGTGATCTTTTTTTTTTCTATTAGCATACAAATATGTATTTCATTATGTCGGTTTGTTTCTCTACATACATTTATCTATCTATCTATGAATGAACGAATGTATACAATGCTACAAATATTATCACTAATTCCCTATCTGTCTGTATGTATGTCTGTCTATCTATCTATCTTTCTCACTACACATAAAGTTAACACTCTGTCTAATTATTACTCTATTTGTAATCACAGATAATTTTCAAACAAATCTACTTTAACATTGAACTAATAATATGCTTGTCGTATAATTGTGCTGTGAATAAGAATGTTAGTAATCATAGCATAAAGAATATTATTATTTATTAGTTTAAGTAAAATAATACTCTCATCATTCTATTTTGTAATCTGTAAAATTTCAGTATTAAAATAAACAAAAACTAAGAGAATTGAATATACTTTATGAAGTATATTGATGTGAATCAAAAAGTTAATGTTAAAAAATGTTTTGTTTTAATGAAATGAAGAATTATTTTTAAAATCTAGATAACTTATTTTTCTTTGAATGAATTAAATCAAACGTTACAACTGAATATCATCATATGTGGAAAGAAAGATAGTAACAAAAGAGTTTAGATGCTAAATTAAGAGTGAATACATGACTAAGTAGATGAGCATATACATGTATATATATATACTTAGCCGTAGTTCAACAGTTTATTAACCTGGTTAAATCTTGTTGTATATTACTAAAATTTAAGTATTCAGATAGTATTGACAGCCTATAAAATCAATAATACATAAACTTGAAAGTGATTTGTAAAATGCTTACAATTAATGGATAAAAGGTGTTTTGTGAAACTATTTTCAAAATGGTAAGAGTTGTCAAGAATAAGAAAACTTGCTAATGACCTTATCAGGATACATGTTATAAGCAATTTAATAAGAATCATAAGATAAATTGTAATTTATCACTAATAAAGATTATTCATCAATGCACACAATTCATCAAGTACAAAATTTTTTTAGCATACTTTAACATCCAGGTTAAAAACAAAATAAAACTACATTAAAGTCAAGTCATAGTAATAACAATGTAAAACGACATGTGGTACTTAGAGTAAAAATCAAGTAGTCAATTATTTTCAGGGTATCAATTGTCAGTGATTTATAAGAAAAGAAAAACCGATCTGTAAATGACAACTAGTATATTACTAATTAAATATATATATATATATATATATATATATATATATATATATATATATATATATATACATTCTCTAAAAACAAATTTTTAAAAAAATGATTAAATTGACTTTCAATGCTGCAGTGAACGACTGCCAACATTCAATAAATCTATTTGACTCTGTTTTAAATGCTGATCAATTAATATAAAATAAAAGTTTCGAAATATAAACATACCATATATGTGAATATCTTCCTTTTTCTGTTCCAGGACAATGCCGTTCAATAGAGGTTTTGTTGATGTTTGATTGTTAGTATTTGATTGATGATGTGACCAACCAGTAGGACGCCAGGCTAGAATAGATTGAAACTTCTTAGAAAAGTTTGATGAGCTGTGAAAGGAACCATGCGCTAAACGATTGTCCAATTTCTTACGATACTGAACAAGACCTGTTGCATTTAATTGTTGCATAGGTAAAACATGAAGTTGAGCTTTATGAGGAGTGTCAATAACATACTGAAGCAGTTGTTTGCATATAGTACAACCACCTTGTGCAGCTAGCTTGACTAAACGATTTTGATTGTTTGGTAACCAAACTTTTAAATTTAATTTAGAAGCAAGACCTAATCGGAGATTAATAGACATAAGAAACAAAACACAGTAAAAAAAATAGAGCACATAAATAAGCGATATATTATATATATTGATCGTCTGCATTGAATCAAACACTTCTAAAATACAGATTCAAGTGTACAGCATTATGAAATTTGCTGAATTAGTAAATTGAGAAAAATTATCCTAGGCTCCATCTGGACTGACGCTTATTGAAGTATAGTCAACTTTTACACGAGTTGTTTTTTATCAGATTAACAATGAACAGGAGATTTTTAACCAAAGTCACCGTTAACAGTGCATTTGAAGTATTGGTTCACAGTACCATTACTAAGGGCCGGAAAAATTCACTTTTAATGATACTGAATAAATGGATCATAAACTATACTTACGGACTTGATAGACGAAGATCGTATTTATATTACTATACTGGATGTGGTCTTACACATCAATCTTTAGGAAAGAAACCATTTCATCAACCATAATAAAAGGTGCAGCAATTAAGAAGTAGCAGATATAGTAATGATAATATTTGCAATATAATAATAATAATAATAATAATAATAATAATAATAATAATAATAATAATAATAATAATAATAATGAGGATTAATGCGAGTTATAGGAAACAAAGAATATACCGACGATAAATTGAATGATCGAATTATTTTGTTTTTTTTTGGGAAAAAGTCATTTAGATAGCTGTTATCCATTATTTTGAGTTTATCATGAATCTGATGATACGTCCTTATTGTAACATACAGGTTAAGTGACCAAAACAATCACCTTCGAATTATTGCAGGAAAGTATGATTCTCAAAACAGTGAATATATTTATATAAATATATATTTGAGTGAAAAAGAGAGCAATCAGTGATTAGCTATGATTTATATAATTTATTTATTAAACGAGAACAGGGAAAGCATAAGTAAATTAGTTTTTAAAAAAAACTACTTCAAACTCCACCATATGAATACACTATGTATCCAATCAAGCAATCTACTTTTTAAACACACAATTTGTGCATTTGAACCAAAAAAAAACTGTCTAATTAATCCAGTTATATCCAATGTATGAAGTAATAAATTTTTGTGTCCAAATAACCAACTAAAACATTTGCTACGGCACAAACAATTTCACTATTGAACGAATAAATAGTCAAGAAAATTATAGTTTGCAGTGCTTTATAATCCTTGTAACAAAAAAAGGTTCGTGAGGAATCTTCTCCGAGTTCTAGCAGGAAGTTGAGACCAGTGAAGTTCAACCTGTTCAGGTGTAGACAGTAACTACCGAAGACTGTGTATGAGGCTGTGCAACTCTGTGAATTGATCAAGTTAGACATTGACACCGTTAGATACCGGCTCAGTGGTATAGAGGTTAGGCGTTCGCGCACAATACTGAAGGTCCTGGGTTAAGGTCCTGCGGGGTGCAGGAGTCATGGATGCGCACTGCTGATGAGTCCCATACCAAAACGAAACGGCCGTCCAGTGCTTCCAGGTTTCTAATGGTAATCTAACATTGATCGATTCATGGTTTCAAAACTGTGTAAAAAAACTACCAGTAGCAACTTTTCATTAAATAAACCATTTAAGCTACAATTTATGAGTTTCAGATTAGAACTTGACATTATCTATAAATAGACAAATGGTATTATTATCATCTTCAATTAGAAATAAGTGACTCATCATTACTATCGTCCTACATTATATTCACTAGAATATTGATATGATTAAAGGCTTACATAGAGTTTTCATAGTAGTAGTTTAAATAATGAAAATTATCCGAAATTCCATTTCTTCTAATATTTAATGTATAAACAAAAGAAAAAAATCAAACGTGTATTAATGACAATAATAAAATTTATTGTGTGACTGACTGTATGCTTGAATCATACTTTATAAACAACAACAACAACAAGAATAAAGTAACGAAATATAAAGTTAGAATAAGAACATATCTTCCTCGTTTTTTTTCTTTAAAAAGAAAAGTGATCACGTTACGAAATTCGAAGCACATGTTAAGTAGAGGAGTAAATTCACACCCCCTAATTTTTTTTTACTATTTTCTCAAAGTAGCTTTATTGTTTAGAATCGTACAATCACGTTACTCTATTTTACACATGATAATAAAATAATAATAATCATAATAATCATAAACTTAATGATGTTTCAATATTCCAAAATAGATGTAACAAGTAGAAACAAAATGAAAAGTTGACAGAAAAAGTCACGTCCATATTGATATACTTAAATGGAGGCAGCGAAAAATGACAGTCTACGAATAGATAATTGAATAAACCATTGTTTTTATCAAAGAGTAGATTATATCACACATAAATTGTCCAGAACATTAACACTTTATGCCATGAAACATTGGAAATCAAAGAGTCAGGCCGCTTTCGCATAAGACTGTTCGACAGTGTCCAACCATAACTCTACCAGGGGGGACCAACACCATTAGGTTTCTTGAGTAGCGCATAATTTTAGACCACTAAGTTTTTTATTGAGTAAATCACATTTCTAACTTCAATCAATTCAAGATAATACATGACCATCCTGATCTTCAATGGTTAGTCCGTCAAGTGGAGCAACATATATAAAATTTGTTCGTAGACTTGCTACTATAAAGATACGATTGTACAACTTTGAGAAAAAACTGTTTGAAAAGGACAAAGTATTTGAATTAAATGTTTTGTACTTATATATATTTGTGTTAAGAGACAACTCTAACGACACTTCGATACTAGGATACAACAGCTCCCGATTATCTTAACAATAGCTTCTGCAAGAGGACAAATCTTATAAGATTTATTTGGAAAAGATTCAATAAGATCACTTCACACTCGAACTTATTTAATTACATACATATTACATTTAGCGATTATTCGTCAAGGAATTTATCGAACTGATACTTGAATAAAAAATTATGATGAATTGAATAATACAATGAAAATCTAGTGGAAATCAAACTAAAAAGATTCACTGTAAATTGATAGTAGTAAAAACTAATTAACGAAAACTGCCTTAATACATCGAACTTAACATTATTAATCAATTAGTTTGATTGAACAATCTGAAATAATCAATTTAATTTGAAAATCTTCTTTCTTTGGCACTGCTGTCGAGAGGTTATTCTAGTTGCAAGAAGGATTAATTATTCGATTTGTCGATGAGAGTTTTATGCTACACTTTTGAAACTTGGTTCGTTCAAGCGAAGTATGTTAAGTGTCTTTGCATTTTGTTACTTACTGCGTATGAAGAATTGCTTATGTCCGGTAGTAACACCGAGTAAAATTGAGGTCAGATAATGGCCGTATAGGTATGGCAACCACAATCTAATCACTTATACTATCTTGGAACAGTAGCTTCAGTGATGACGTTTTAATTTATCTTATCCAGACGGAGAAGCTTTTGAGGATGTAGAAACCTTTACATATCTGAACAGCATCATCGATGAGCACAGTGGATTTGATGAAGATGTGAAGGCGCAGATTGACAAAGCCTCGGATGCGTTTCTACAACTGAAAAACCTCTACAACTCTGTTACGATTGCACGTAAACATGTCAATTTGATATGCTTGAACTAGTACGAGTTTACCTTAGTCGGGAAAGGAGAGCGAGGATCGAAGATCCGGTGACACGACATGCTACTCTAACCCGACTGCCCCAATCCCCTCCCCATTGAGTAAAAGAAGAAGACTTGATATGAAGTAGAACCTGTATTCTACAAGCATCCAGAAAGCACGAGGTCCGAGTCCAGAAGAGAATCAGGATCCCGGACTAAGGATCCGGGTCCGGATCAAAAAACGTTACAGCTAATGTATATTTATACAGTCAGGTCGAATAGGAACAAACACTGAAGTCTGTGACACTGATAGTTAGGACAACCAATAGGAAACAACATTGCAGTACGTGACATTGATATCTAGGACGACCATAATATTGACCAGTAGGGATTAACCAATAGGAATTGACCAATAATTCTCTCAGGATATTGGATGAACATCCTGACAAGCTCAGAACAACTATTGACAAACACCAAAGTCACAATTTTCAATATAACCTTAAAAAGTTTTACTGTATCGGACGGAAACTTGGAGAACCACGTAAGCCGTCATCCACAAGATACAAGTCGTTATTAACGGTCGTCTAAGCAAAGTACCTCGGATTCGCTGACCTGAAACACTCAGCAGCAACTTACTGTGGGAGATAACAAAGCAGATTCCTGCTGACGAAGGATTTAGGAAAAAGTGTTGGAGGTGGATAGGACACATATTAAGGAAAACACACAAGTGACTCACAAGAGGTCTTTAAGGTCGAAGGAAAAGAGAAAGATCGAAGAACATATTACGCCGAGAATTGGAAGCAGATGTGAAAAGAATGAACAGCGAACGGGTACAACTGGAAAGGAAGGTCTAGGACAGAGTAGGTTGAAGAATACTGATCGGCATCCTATGCTCCATTAGGGGTAACAGGCGTAAATAAGTAAGTCTATACAATACTGGCGAACGATTTATAATGTTCAGTAACAATCATATTCCCAACAAGTTTTATACTTTTTTCTTCTCGTTTGTTTTCGTGCTCCACAAAAATTATCGTCAATCAAAAAGTGTGATAGCTCACAAAATAAACTGACTAAAAAGATGAATGTCTTCAGTATAACAAGTGATTCTTGTGTCTACATTTGATAAAGGGAATATAACTTACGGACTACCTTTAAGCGATAACAAAGTGACCTAGAGAAAATTCGCTTAAATTAGAGTGTGGAATTAGAATTGGAATTTAAAGTTAGACGTCAAAGTTAGGTAATAAAGTTGGGGTTTATATCACAAACACACATTAGCCGTCATGCATTATTAAATTTCAATCCAAAATCCAAGACTAGGTAACTAAAATCTGATTAGTTAGTACACATTTTACAGTATAGCCAAAAGTTCAAAGTCGATAGCTATGGAAACGGATTCATCCACATTGTGTCTTCTCATAGATTATATGTTATTATGTTATTTCATAACTCATCAGCTACAACGTGAAATTTAGTACGAACGTACATCAGTTCAAGTTTTCATACCACATTAGCACACAGAGATAGAAATGTAAATTCAAATGCCGAAATGGAAGATTTAGTAGACGTATTAATGATAATGAGGAAGATTAGGCTTTGCAGACACGATCCGAGAAGTACATACCAGTGAAAGAAGTTTAAAAAGAGAAAAAACGTCATGAGGAATTCGGAAGATAAGAATTTCAGCGAACAGCAACAATGGATGCATCTGTACCACTTTAAACGACTTCCAACCATGTCATTCAGTGACTTCATTGATTTGTTCCATGTTTCGGTTTGGCCGCATCTACCTTTCTTCCAGTCCACTCCTACATCACAAAACATAGATCGTCGAGGCAGTCGTTGGTTGGACAGGCATAACACATATTCCAACCACCTGAGCTGATGAAGACTCCCTACTTAACCTATAGATTTGTCATCCATACCTATTAATCTATTCATAACAACAACATTGCTTTCTCGGTGATCCCAGAAGATACTTATGATCGAATACTAATGACATACGAATATCCTCTATTCTTAGTGACCGTTTCATACCCATAAAGTAGAACGGTGCGAACGGCTACGCAATAGACTCTTCCGTGGGTTAGCAGACGGATATCTCTCCTACATCATTGGTGACACTAATTGGCAAAAGCCAATCTAGCCTTCTGCATCCGTACCGAGATTTCATCACTCACCAGGACATCAGCACTGATGAGACTCCCGAGATAAGTGAGGCGGTCGATACGCTCAACTACTCCACTCCCTATCACTAGTTCAGATGCCAACGCAAGCCTATCATGAAGCAACATTTTGAATTTCGATGGGTGAACCACATCCCGAACATGCTTGCATTGTTGCTTAAGGAAGCCACAAGATTCTACATTTTTTCAGTGTCTTCACCAAACAGAACTATGTCATTGACATATTCTAAGTCAAAAAACGAGTCTCCTCATAGAAAGAAGGTCAACTCCTGAAAAGTCAGACGAAATTATTGTTTCGAGAAGCACGTCTATGACAAAGCAGAATGTGAACAACCCTGAAGAACACCATTTGAAGTAATCAATTCCGATAACAGTTCGCCATAAGCTTTCACACGACCAGTAGTGTTCTGGTAGAGAACCTGTATAAGGTTAATGTACTTCTCTGGTACTCTTTTCAATGACAGACTACTATCAGACATCTGGATGTGGGTTTGTGTTCTAGGACCTGAAGAAGGGTGAATATTTGGTCTATACATCCACGTCCAGGTCTGAAACCAGCTTGGTTTTCTCTACTCTGCTCCACACGAGCTCCAGTTAGGCGTCCATGTATCAATAAAATCAATATTTTAGACACTATGGTAGTCAAACTGATTCTTCTGTGCTTGTCACAAAAGGACTTTTGTCTCTTTTTGTAGACTGGGACAATCAGTGATTAAGACCAATCACATGGGATTATCCCCAGTTTCCAAATTCTACCTAATATCTCAGTCAATCTAACTGCTAAAACTGGACCATCGAGAGAGAGGACTTTTATTACTTTTGGCCACACCAGGGCACAAACACACATTTCTGCTGGATACAGTTATTGATTACCAAGACTGTTTATTCATGACTGTACATTCGATTAAATATTGGACACATTTGTCTAATTTGTTTGTCACAATGCTTTTCAATTAGTAATCCTACTAAACACAGTTATTATCATTTGCACCTCAGTCAAAGAAATACAGACAATTTATTAACTATCAACTATTTTTCAATTAAACTGTTAACTAACTAACCATGCTTTCTGTACTGAATAATTCTATGATGTAATTGTAAGTGGCAGCACTCGAAGCAATGAATTTCTTAATTTCAACAACTGTGTACTTATAAGTAGTATATATATTATACACTTGTTGAAAATACATAGTTGAAACAATACTCGTGATAATTTCAGTACACAGTAGAATTAATTTAAACCACGAAGTAAATTTTAGATCGTCAGGTTTTGAATTCACTAATAAACGGACTACCTTTTGACTCCATAGAGTCATATGCATAATTTTTCTTGTAAAATTCAAAATTTGATGGTGAAAATAGCGTTTCATTATGAACGAAATGATTTAGCGTATTGTCTTTTCAAACTCGTCTTTCTTTCTACATTGGCTACTAGATTGATTTGTCATTTCCATCTCGCCTCAGTGTGGTATGCCAACTTAGGTTGGTGTATACCTATGCTAGATGTGTTAGTTTGTAAAAGTTAACATATTTGTGTCTTCGTTTATAAAATCCACGTATGCGAATTAAATCTCTACATCAAAATGTAAAGAGAGAAGTTTCCCCTTAGTTTAAAAAAGTAGATTTGGACTGTTGTCCTTTCCGAACTGAACATTAAATGAATTTCATGCAAGCTATACATAGTACATAGTACCCCGACCGATATCTCAGAAATAATTTAAACTAATCCGATATCGATCACACAAGCTCATATTTACTGAACTTGAATAAATGTATCAGCATCAAATGGTTAAGAACTTACTTTGCATTTAAGTTGAATTTTTTTAATTTTGTAGTCTTTATGATGTGATTTTGTTTGATGACCCAATCTCATGAGACCTCTTTTGAAATCTTTATTTGCCTTATTTTGCTTTACCAGCCAGTTTGTCTAAACCTAGTCTTCTGCTTCGGACAGCTCATTTACACACCCTATGAAAATTTAACCTTACCATCTGCTATCTGTAGAATATAGAATCTAGCAAAGGTATATATATATATATGGGTAGATAGATAGATAGATTCAACTTCATAACATTTACATCATCAAAGTCAGACAGCAGACTAACCAGATAATGAAGGAAATAATATAAATCTGAAGGTAAAAAATGATACTAATTACTCCACACTGATACATGTTCATCTTGAGCAGGTTTTCACGATACTGCCTTTAGTTGCACATACTTAAACTGTTGACAATATGGCTAACAGTCGAATCCAAAATGTGCTTTTTGTCATATTCGAGACTTATCTGAATTCGCCTGCATCTTAATGTTGGTGTTCACATTGAGGCTTGAACCCAGACCCTTGGCTTTAAACTCTAATAAGTTATCTATTAAGTAAAGAATTCGGAATAGCCACTGACATTTTTAGTCCTGAATACCAATTAAAAAAACTTTATCAGGTACCATATTCATAATTAGTGGAAACTATTGTTGCTGTATTATGGTGATAAAGAGAACTCAAGCCATATTGTCAAAAATTCTACCTACCAAGGACAAATCGTTCCTTGCCGATTGAGTACATACCACAAATAACCAAAGTGGTCGGTTCATTTATTAGATAACTACGTGTAACTTCCAGTGCTCCATGAATAACATCTACTTGAGTAGGAAAATCATATTGAGATGAACAATATCTGAAATTTGGTAGATCATTCATAAAATGAAAAAATACATGAAAATTTTGTATTACGTCAAAAATATAAACTGACTATAAGAAGCGGGAAACAACTTAACTAGTATTGGCATAAAGGTAATTTTAAATCAATTAATTATTTTTAGGTACAGTCGACAACTGATACTGGTTGAAAAATAAGTATAGACTACCTGGTTGGGGTCGGCGGAACAAAGTTGCCGATGGTTAGAGACTTTGAATGACATGGCTGGAAATCGTTTAAAATGGTACAGATGTTCTCTCAAATTGTAATCTTTCGAAATCCTCAAAATCTTTTATTCATTTAATTTAATGACTCATATTTTTTGAATCTTATCTTAATTCTATTATCTTTTTTACCACTACTAATACTGATAATACCTCCGCTACTCTGGAATTTGGCTTGGCAGTTTCAACTCTCTGTGCTATAAGCAATGGCAACTTGAACTGATGCACGTACGTACCAAGTTCTACGTTGCAAGTAATTGACTGACTATCATAATTCAGTAAGAGAAATGATGTTTATAGATTGGGAAAATTACAATTATTTTTCAGAAAGAATCGTTGATATGCTCTTTACAATATCGGTTATCACACCCTATGTTTAAGCTGTTTACCTGGAAATATGATTATCCAACAATCAACGTAGACTGGTAGAAACAAATATATTACGAATTTGACCGCAATTATAGCATTTTTAGTTATCCCTTCCAAGCTTTTAACACCTTGATCAAATGTGCACGTGGACGATTTGTAGCAAAATTCTTCACTTAAAATTAAGTTATAAATATCATCATTTCTTCAAATAGCGAAAAGTACTTTAACCGTAATCATATATAAGATAATGCTCAAATATTTTGAAAACATGAGGGCATAATTCAGGAGATTTTGATACGTCCTTGAACTAAACTAATATTTCCCAACTCTGATTACTTCTTCTCTACCTCACTAAATAGAATGAAAGGTCCAGTTTCGTAGTGAAAGCTTTGTTAATGATGACCCTGACAGAACTAAAAACATCTTTAGGTTAATCGGTTACAATGATTAGAATTTATAAACTGAGTAATTGTCACTAAACACAAATCAATAAAAACACAGAATATCATAAAGTAGTGGAACGAAACCGTGTTAACTTTAAATTCACGCTAAAATCTAAATAACTTCCTCCCTCATAAGATGTACTTGAAGATTCCACATTCCTAACAGATTTTCGCTGATTTCAGAATTGAAAATGCATTAATGGTACAAATGTATGCAAACCACAATAATATTTAAAAATAAAATAGGGCCCGTACGTTGTATCCAAAAATATTGAATGTATTCTAGATAACTTTTCTGTAGCATTGTTTTCCGACAAATAATTTGTTAATATACTTGGATAAGTCAACATATCTGGTGTATAACGAAAATCACCAGTATGCAAATATGTTCTCTGATTTGATGGAACATAGAAAAGGAACATTAAAGACCCAGGGCAGCTGTAAAATAAAATAATAGGGAAAGAGTAGAATCAAATAGTAGTATAGACATGCATTCAAAAAACTTTATTGTATCATGATTCCGATTTAAAGTGAGAATGTCAGGAACATTTTTATGAGTCAATATGAAATGGATTGAAAATTGGGAATAAAAACCGCTGTATGATATCATTCAAACGTTTAGCATTTTGTTCCCCAAACATTTGCTTTCGTAAACTTGAATATCATATTTTTAACTGTGTAAGAGTTTAGAAGAGTAATTTGTGAATTTCGTTTTTGCTAATAGTGATGTGTGGTGAAACTATCGAAAATGTAGAAAGACGTAATATACGACCATAAAGATACCTTCAAAAAATTACTACATTAGGCTGTCAGCGATGTGAACTACATATACTGCAATACTAAAGATACTGATATCAAATATCAGTAATCAGTTGAAATCAGGTTTAAATTTAGTTGAACCATGAGACTGAACCAATTCATTATATTATTAGCCGATGGTTAGAGATATTTGATAAATTATATGTTTTTTATTACCCTGAAAACAAGAATCGATGATTGGTAACGAATTGAGATATTCTAAAGTCCGATCCATTGAAGCAAGTATATTTTTGCTTGACTCTTATGTCCTAAAGTTCTAAATGATCAGACATAATGCAACTTCAGCCAACATACTACTGTGCTAGTTTTTAGGTTGTTCACTTCATTAATGACATATGTTATCGTTCGATTAACCATTGTATGAACAAAAGAGTAGTTGATTAATTTAGCTGCAATGAAAAACAAATAAAATGACATCTAGCACACATGTGAATCAGTCATCAACATAATAGTTCAATTGAGGACAATGAGAAGATAAATGATGACAAATAATATCACCATTAGCAATAAAATAACAAAGAGAAAAGATGTTTTGAACATAAAAGAAAAATCATGGACAATAAGTTTGAAAGTATAGGCATTTAGACCAGGAATATGTTTTGAGGCTAACATTAAGATCCGAAAGATATAACACTCTGCCAGGACATATCAGCCGGGTGCAAACCTATGTTGAAATAAAATTGATGTTTTCATTGAAGTTTAAACAAAGTACCAATAACTACAAACAAAATATTGTTATCCACCAAAGTATCTTGGTTGTACTTCTTTCAAAACGATACAGGGAAGTTATTAAACTGTTTTATGTTGTAGTTATAAAACTTAACCCATGTAAGCAAGATTTTTGAACATGCTGCTCGTATTCGAGTATAGAGCTCACGTTGGATCTCAGGCAAATAATAAACGATGAAAGGCTTTAATATTTTGCTTTATGTCTAAAAATAAGCTTATGAAAATATCGACTGATGTATATCTGTATAGAGGGCGAAAACTCAAAATCCTAAACCAATGAACTATAAACACTAGCATAGTTTAGTTTATTTTACACTTTGAAACTTTTTGCTCGTAGTATCAACCTATATTCTCTCTATATATGTGAAGTAATCAAATAAATCCTCAAGATTTCGAAGATCGTTTTGGTGGGACAAAAGAAAATAATTAAATACAAATCCCTTTATTTAGTCTTATTCAATCAACGTTCTTAAAGAACTATATTTGTAGTGATACAGCACATTCACTCCTGACTGTTCTATTTAACGTAACTACAATTCTCAAACCATAAATAACTAAAAAAATTTTGCATAATTAAAACACACTTTAAGACCTAAATCAAGAACAAATGGAATCAGTTAGGCAAGTAACGAATCTTACTGATTAGCATCTAAAGCTGTTACTTCCACATTATCAATCTTTGTACACTTTCCTATCTCAAGCACGTTAATGACCAAACCCAAGCCATATGTATCTCTTAAAAGATTCTTTGTTACCTAAAACCAGAAATAAAAGCAAATGAAGATATACCTCACTGCAACAAATAACCCCTTTAAAATTCTTGTGGATGCCTCTGTAATGATCATAATGGAAATGGGAAAGGAAGTAACAGGTACATCCCGGAATGTCAGAGTAACAGAAAGCATCAACCGTAATTGATGTATCTATCAATACTATAAACTTAAAACATCATTTGACAAACTTGGGATCCACTTATAAAAAGGGCATTTCCTGGAATTTTTTTCGAGTGAATTACTTCTAGATACTGGAACGGATGTAGGCACATTACATGCATTCAGATTTTGTCCAGGTGCCTTGCATTTTTCGTCTCGGATAAAATAGGACAAAATAGACTCGCCATGGTAACCGACTTTCCTTTTCTTTCCTGCCTTCATTGAGAGTGAAATTAAATTTAAGGACGAGAGATTTCAGATCACTAAGAACACTGACATATATAATTAGGAAATTTCTGCAGAATTCAAATCTGTATTGACTGAAGCCTCTAATTAAATTGATTATGGGTCCATCAGCGAAAACACAACAATACTTCCATGCTGAAAAAAAATCGAAATATTTATTGAATTACAATAGTAACCCACAATTTTGTCATTTCATCTTTTGGTACCGCACTGAACCATAGTCAGTCAGTTACAACGTAGAACTTCGTACATAAATTCAGGTTGCCATATCCCATCAGCACAGAGACGCAACTGTCAGTCAATATCACATGGTGGTAGCGATAGTATAAGTATTAGGAGTAATAGAGAAGATTAGGGTTCGAAGATATGATTCGAGGAGTATAATTCGGTGAGATAGATTTAAAAAAAGAAAGATAGGGATGAGGAATTCAGGTCAGAATTTAAGAGAACACAATGAAGGAATGCACCCGCGCCATTGCAGACTATTCTGATCTGTCATTCAAGGCTCTAACCATCGGTTACTTTGGTCTCGCGGACACCAACCAGGTAGCCTACATCTGCCAACATGACTCAGTCCACTTGTCAGTGACTTCATGGATCTATGCCATGTTTTGGTTTGATCGCTCCTAACTTTCTTCCAACCTACTACTACATCACAGAACATCGCTCGTTGAGGCAGTCGGCAGTTGGGCATATTTAACACATGTCCCAACCACTTTAACTGATGAAGATCCAGTACTCCAATTATTTGAGTAACAATTTTTACCTAGTACTCTTTTCATAACTACGGCATTGCTTACTCGGTTGTCCAAGGATACACGAGCAATGCTTCGAAGATAAATTTGATCGAAAAAAAGCAACCTACGAATATCCTCTACTCCTAGTGATCGGAGTGAACTACTGCGCAGTACACTTGTCCTTTGTTTGGAAAACGGATATCTACGCCATAAGTGACGCAGGTTGGCAAAAGTCAATCGAGCCTTCTGTATCCGTGCTGAAATTTCGTCACACACCAGGCCATCAGCACTGATGAAACTCCCGAGATAAGTGAAGCGGTCTATACGTCTGACTACTTCACTCCCTATCACTAGATCAGATACCGATGCAACCCAATCTTGAAGCAACATTTCGCATTTCAAGGGGAAAGCCGCATTCTGAATATGCTTGCATTGTTGCTTAAGGCGGTCACAAGATTTTGCATTTTGTCAGTCTTCACCAAGTAGAACTATATAACCGGCATATTTTTGTCAACAGTTGAAACTCCGGGTAAAATCTCAACTTCTGAAATGTCAGATGATGAAAAGGTCGTATCTGAAAACAGATAATCTGCAAGCAATCGTTCGTTTTCTATGTACTGATAAAGAGTACATTATTGGGTAGTGGTGGCTGACAAATATGGAAGCAGTAGAACCGAATTCATTCACCTTATCATACTACTCAACTTAGATCCACTCTAAAGACACCAACGTAAATGCGCCACAGCCATAATAACGTGATGCAATTAGTGGAATCTGATTTCCATGAAAACAGCCTAGCTAAGTAGTTCGCTCCCAATTAAATACATCCTTAACTGCTATTATTTCCCGGTTTTACTACTGAATCAACTACTTTACACGTTTCTTCCCTAAACTCGGCTCCAATAAGATTAAAAGAATGTCTTAATTACCCCCATTTTTGGATATATCAATAGATAACTCAAATTTAGCTACTAAGCTGTAAGTTGAGCGAGTGTAGTTGGTAAAATCTTAAAAATGTAGCGAATTATCTGCTTTTTCACAGAGAAGAACACAATCTGATGACACTAGGAAAACACGAAATTAGTGTTGGCCATTTCTATTTGATATATCAGTAACCAAGAGAAACTGAGTAGCACCTATATCAATAAGATGTGTTATATAGGATTTAGGCAGAAACTTGTCAACCTCACAACAACACAGTTTAAGTGCAAATCAGACTACAAATACAGCAAATAATGTATACAACTCAGAGATTAAAATGGACCATACATAATGATAGATGGAAATGTACATTGCCGACAAATGTCCGGAGATGATGCCATTAATAAGACTGCAACGGCCTATTTAGTAACAATATATTCGTATATAGCCAAAGGCGTGTTAAGCTTACCAGAAGGCAAAATCTTATGTTCCCTGTTGGATTAATTAGCTAAAAACCATTTGGCGGTTAGTACACAATATTACCATCTGGCTTAGGCTTTCAGTTGATTTAGACTAATTAGTTAGCTGGTTTTCAAACCACGTTTCTAGTATGAGTGAACCAATGCAAATCAGTCGCAACAAATGCTGCCAGTACTCAGTCGGCCCGACAAAACCAATAAACGGGGAAACAACGGACAAGTCTGGTAGACTTTTTAAGATAGTATACTAGTCCGCAAAATATTGTCTTCTGTACGTTAATGAAGCGGAAAAGTAGACCGGGGTGTGAATTTTTGGGGAAAAAATGTCTCGAGAGTCCGAGACCCTTCTCTCAAAAAGGGACTATGGAAATAAGTCTCGAAATTTACACGGAGCAAGAGAAAAGGTGATAATTTGGTGCATCGTCATCTGTGATCACATTATCATTACTGAAGGATTGCCTTAAAAATTTACATAAAATTCACCTATATTGCCTTATATTTTTTGCAATCAAACACCTTAGACAAACCTTGAAAACGGCAAGACTATGATCCGCTGACAAGTCAGTCAGTCACATTTTAGACAGCTTTGCGTTTAACCGCAAAATTTATGCATCAAATCTAGGCACAGTAGGTGATATCAGTTCGGGAATAAAACCCCCAACTCTTATTCAGAACAATAACATAAGCTCAAAATTTTATTACTACTTTATTTACATTAATTTATAACCATCTTTTGATTCTGTAGACAGATAAATGCTCTCAAGGTCACTTCGGCATGGTTCTGAGGATATCCTTAGATTACAGTTTCAACGATATGGGTTTTAACCCAGCCTGAGTTCGAATTCGCTGATAACGTGTGCAGATGTTAAGATCATTACAGAGTCCACTAAAGCCCGTTAAAAAATACACTAATTAGCGCTGTGACTCCAGTCTTTGGCTGGTTTGCGTCTACCTAGAAGGCACCTTGTCTGCTATGGGTATCTGTGGAGTAGCGTGTAAAGTTATCTGGAAGAGGAAAGAGCAGGCAAAAACGGTGAGCTGATGACTCATTAATCACACAGGACTGACTTACATTTAATAAGGAAATCAACAGACAGCAGCTAGAAATAACATACAAACATACAAACTTTGCACTACTCGTATAAAATATTTTGTCGAAATAACCTTAAGGTGATCTGGGAAGTATATAATGATACCTCATGAACAGTACACTTCATTGTAAAATGAAACATCTTTCGAAGGATGTACATACCAGCTACTTAGTACAGAGCGTGTGGGTTGAAACAGAGTCTAAAGCCTTAACGAACTCTTTCGGACAACTGATTTCCAATAAAAGAAATGTAAAGACATGCACATCAAAATTATAAGATTACCTATCTTGTGGAATCGCTTAAAAATATACATCCAAATAGCTTTCATTAACGTCGTTTATGATGTGAAACCAACCAAAATATATTGTACATTGTTGTGGGTGAAGCGGCCGACAATATCCTGAAATAGATAGATAACTCATTGTCACCTGCTCACACCCGAATATCTATCAAATTACCCCTACAAGTGCTTGCTTAATCTCAACTATTCTCTTTCTCCTGGTGATTGACTTTATTGTGGAGACGTCAACATATAGGGAGAAGCACAGTATACGGTGGACAACTAGGATGCAGCTGGACGATCTAGACTTCACAGATGATGGTTTGGCTCTTCATTCCAAGAAGCAACAAAAAATGCGGGAGCAAACGACCAGTGCATAAGAGCAAATGCAAGATCCTCGATACAACATAACATACATAAACTAAATCACACTTGATAAAGAAGCTCTGGAGGATGTAGAAATCTTTACACATTTGAGTAATATCATTGATGAGCACAGTGGATCTGATCCATATGTGAAGGCACAGATTGACAAAACCTCGGATGCGTTTCTACAACAAAAAAACATCCACAACTCAAAACAACTATCGACAAACACGAAAGTCACCATTTTCAATACAACTGCAAAACAGTTTTAGTGTATGGGGCGGAGACTTGGAGAATCGCGTAAGCCATCATCCACAAGATGCATGTCGTTATTAACAGTTGTCTACACAAAGTATCTCGGATTCGCTGACTAGGCATCATCAGAAACAACCTACGGTGGGAGAGAACAAACCAGATTCCAGTGACGGAAGAATTAGGAAAAAGTGATGGAGGTGGATAGGACACATAGTTTGAGAAAAACACACAACTGCGTCACAAGATAAGCTCTCACTCTGGATCTTCAAAGCCGAAGGACAAGAGAAAGACCGAAGAACATATTATGCAGACAACTAGAAGAAGATGTGAAAGGAATTAACAGCGAGTGCGTCGAACTGGAAAGGAAGGTCTAGAATAGAGTGGGTTGTCGAATGGTGTTTGGAGAACTACGGTCTTTTAGACTTGATAATCGAAAGTAACAGTGCCTTTTGACCCTGAAGACAATAGTCTCTAAATAAAGTCGTTTATACAAATTCCATAGCAGTCGGTCGATCTATGATACCTAGCTTATCTTTTATGAAAGTGCACTACTAAGAAATGCCAATATGTGTCAATGGCACAACTTCGTAAGGGAGAGATTTCGCAACCGTAAGTGTAGTGATTGAGAAAAGAAAATCATGGGTTCAATGAAAAGTAAGCTAATCTGTTCAAGTTTTCATGAAACTATGGCTTTATATTTCTCAAAATTATTTGAGATTGGACTGCTAAGTAGTGAGGCCAGGAATTCGGTCACCTATGTAACGAAAATATGTTGAATACTTCATGACGATGTCAAATGTCTTTAAATACCGTAGTTTATCACATAGGGGCTGAATGCTAAAGTAGATTGAGATTCCTTCTGCAGATGCTGACCAGTGTTTGAATCACTGGTTCTTGGGCTTTCGAATCAACCAAAATCTGAAGATTTTACTTAGGGTAGAGTATTAAATCGTTTGACCAGAAGGCAAGTCAATCGATAGTCTTAGCTTTATATAAATTAAATTTCCATAAGACACTTTTTGAAATTTTTTACTGCACAACTTAACAGGCTTTCTCATCATGTAAGTGTCACTGCATTTTATTTCTTGTATATAATAAACTCGAATTATTTAAGAAATTTCAGTATGGTATAAATGTAACAGCATTATTAGTATCGTTTGAATTATGATCAGGTCCCTAGTAATGCACCTGATCTAGCAGGCAAGGATACAGTGCAATGGAATAATGCGTTTGCAGAGTCACAATACGGATGTTGTTGACCTTTGTTTCACTGTCGTAAAGTCCGCTAGTTTAACAGTGATAGCTGAGCAAAATTACACTGTTTTCAGTGCAGGAGTAACAAAGTACAAGCGCACGTATATTGTTAATAACAGGAAAGGTCACATTTGTAAGAAAGTGTCTGTTGAAAGGCGCTTGGTTTGAGGAGTGACCTAAAGGGGCGAGCACGTCCACTTTTCTAAATTACTTACACATGTTACCTCGAACAGGCCACCGACCAACATTTTCCAAACAACACTATGCTGGGGCTTTCCGATTCCACTCAAATGCTATTAATTCTTTTCATATCCGTCTCTAATTCTTGGTGCAGTGTGTTCGTTGATCTATCTCCATTCCTTTGGCCCTAAGGTTCTCAAATAACCGTTTGTCTCATGGTGCAGTAAGGTGGTTTTCAGAGTGTGTCCTATCCTTCTTTGAATGCTCTGTGCTCAGTTTTATTTGACGAGGAGTAGAATAAAAAACCCCGGCGATTTTAGTGTTTCGTACATGCTTTGAACTTGCATTTTTTCCTTGGGTAAGCAATATGAGTGCAATCCATCATATCCTTCAAAATCATAATCATGAATTCCAGTAGTACGAGAGTTTTGTCATATAAGCTCCTAGCTCTCTAGGTCTCTCTTTCGAATCCCGAGCGATCAATATCCGTTACGGCTCCGAAACGCGCATACAAGATTCGAGCAAAATCATCAATTTGATTTCACCTAGAGCAGATAGAGACATAACAAGGTTTACGCTTCGAGTTTCCGGAAGCCCTGATGCCGCTTCTCGTGGCCTCGCCGGCGTACGTTTAGTATTAAGTCTTAGGGCAGAACAAGCTCTCTTAGACTGGATCCCGATAGACAGTCGCTTATGCACTGTCCAGCTAAACGGGACAGGACGGACTCGGGAGGATAGGGACACTCGCCATTGCCTCTTCGTCGTATCTGCCTACGCTCCTACTGACTGCGGTTCGGACGACATGAAAGATATGTTTTATAGAAACCTCTCTAACCTTCTCTAAAATGTTAAGCGCTCTGATACAGTGATAATAGCTGGTAACTTTAATGCTCAAGTAGGTAGACTGGGTGAAAAGGAAAGACCTCTGAGTGAGCCCTATGGTGTCGTGGCTCAGAGAAAAGATAATGGCAACCGTCTACTGCAGTTATGCTCAGATAACCGTCAATTTCTAGCAAACACTAGGAATAAGGTAAAACAACTTTTGACCTGGCGACCCCGAAAACCGACCCAACGATGGACCCAACTAGATCACATCACTATAAGCCATCGGTGGAGAGGCTCTGTTGAAGACTGCCGCTCATTCTGGAGCACTTGTTTAGACTCAGACCGTGCTCTAATGCGAGCGTGTATTTGTTTGCATCTTAGAGGACGCAAGGAAGCCCTAGTGATAACAAAGCTAGAAAAACAGTTAAGTAGCCATGTAATAAGTGATGCCCACCCTGAGTCAGCTTAGAATGGTATCAAAACGGCTGTAGAAACAGCAGTGATATCCTCTGGCAAGGTAAACCATAAGGTTAGGGAGAAGACGTGGATTTCAGTAGCATCTACCCGAACTGATTGATGCACGGAAGCTCATCCCGCATGTCTGAGTACGATTAGGAGCGAAGGCAGCTTATGCGCAGGCTGACAAAAAGCCTTCGCAATGATCAAGAGCAGTGGTGGGCAGCGAAAGCAAGGGAGAAGGAAAAGGCAACGGCGATAGGTAACAGTAGGTAACTATTCTGACTTATAAGGGAAACCGTTATTAGGAACCAGAATGTAAGTAAAAAGATGGAACTATCATTCATCCTCAATCCAGGAAACTGGATAAATGGGAAGAAGACTTAAGGGATCAGATCAACTGGCCTTCAGCCACACCTCGGTTGCCCACGATCTCCAGTCATCCTTAATGGGAAACCGAAATAAGTCCTGCGAATAATTACGAAGTTGAGAGGGCGATAGAAAATCTGAAATGAGAGAGAGCAGCAGGACCCGATAGATCGACCCAAGAGATTTTGAAGGATGGTGGTCCAGTTTTAGCAGCTAGATTGACTGAATTCTTATGCAGAACTGGACACAATCCCATCCGACTGGTCTCAATTACTGATTGTCTCAGTTAATAAGAAAGGAAAAAAGTCTTCTTGTGAGAATCACAGAGGAATCATCCTAACTAATATATTTTCTAAATTGTTAGCCTCGATTATAATCAGATGTCTAACTAGAACTCGTGAAGAGCGGACTACAGGGAACCAGGCTGATTTGAGATCTGGACATGGATGTATAGATCACAACTTCACACTACGGCAACCCCAAAAGCCAATCCAACGATGGACCCAGCTAGATCACATCGCTATAAGCCATCGATGGAGAGGCTCTGTTGAAGACTGCCTCCCATTCTGGAGCACTTGTTTAGACTCAGACCATGCTCTAGTGCGAGCGTAAATTTGTTTGCATCTTAGAGGACGCAAAGAAACCTCACTTAATGATAATAAAGCTAAGAATATATTTCAGGAACAACTAGAAAAACAGTTAAGCAGCTATGTAGTAAGTGATGCCCACCGTGAGTCAGCTTAGAATGGTATCGAAAGGGCTGTAGAAACAGCATTGATATCTTCTAGCAAGGTAAACCATAAGGTTAGGGAGAACACGTGTATTTCAGTAACATCTACCGAACTCGTCATCATCATCAAGAGCAACGTAGAACTTTGCACGTAAGTACAGCAGTTCAAGTTGCCATACTACATTAACACAGAGATATAATTGTCAATTCAAATCCCATAGTAGTAGAGGTAGTAAAAGTATTAGAAGTAATCGGAGGGATTAGGGGTAAAGAGGTAAATTTAGAAAGAGATAGATACAGCTGATGAGGAAT